CGGAGAAGAAGCAGACGCCTCCTCAAGTCGAGGCCGTGTAGCCGCAGGTTGCGGCAAAGCTGCTTCCGTTGCGGACCGTGGTAGGCCCTGTGCTTGCTGGTCCAAAGTGACGTGCGGTGGCTCAAAGGTGTCAAGGTCAGGAGGCGTAGCCAAAGACTCCAAGTCCGACAAGTCGTCTCTTGGCGGTACCGCCTCTGGCTCATCACCGCCAAAGTCGTCACCAAGCAAGTCTTCAACTTCTTGCAAAGCTTCTGGTGCAAGTGGCTCAGTCGACTCGTGTTGCTCAAAGTTCGAAAGGTCTGCCGCTGTCGCCTCCTCGGACCGCTTGGCTTGAGGAAAGACAAAAGTGTCCGTCTCAGCTTTCGAACCAGTAGGGTCCCAAGGGCGAGCAGAGATCGACTGCAAAAGTGCAAGGTCGGCTTGCCGGGAGGGCGGGTGGCGTTTGACACTGCGGGTCTTAAAGACGCCGGTGGCGTCAGCAACAAAGTGCTGATCAGACTCAGTGTCCTTGCCAAGCCAAACACCAGGCACAAAAAGCGGCACGGCCCTTCTGCGGATGCGGCTTGCGGAAAAGTACTGTCTCTCCAAAGCGACAGATAAAGCCGGCATACTTCTTACGCCAGCGCCGCTCAAAAGCCGTGGTTCCTTCCGCGTTGCAAAGGTAACGGTTCACAAGCCACTGCGCGTGACGCACAAGCCAAGTAAACAAAGCCGAGTGCACCGAAAGGTCCACGTCAAAGCGCTCAAGTATGTCAAGGCGCAAAGCTTTGATCTGGCCGTACAAAGTGGCCTGCATGTTACCGACGCTGCCTTGCGCTTGTTTCCAACCGACGGGCGTCTTTCGAAAGGAAAGTCCACCAACCTCACCAGTGACAGAAGTTGCAATAGCGAGGAGGGCGGGTTCGGGGTCCGCTTGCAACACACCGAAAGTTCTGCCCGTTTCAAGCACAAAGCGACGAAGTTCAGCCTGTGAATAAGGTGTGCGGGCCTTGGTGGGGATCACAACAGAAAGTGCCATGCCGGAAAGAACATCGACAACATTCAAAATCGTGATCTGTTCCTCACCAGGCTTGTCGCCAAGAAAGCTAAAGTCCATCTGCAGCACAGGCTGCTTCAGGGAAAGTCTGCGACTCTTAGCCTGTTTGCTCTTGGAACGCACACAAATTTCACACCAGGGCTTAAACGGCAAGTGTGTCAACTCGTGTTCAAGCCGCTCCGTCAAAGTTGGCTCGCCAGGCTGTTTAAGCCCGCGGGGGCGACGCGCAACATAGTCAGGAGCTTCTGGCTCGCACTCAACAAGTTGCAAGTCTGCCTTCTCAAAACAAGTGGCGCCGACAAACGGAGAGCTGATCAAAGTGGCGCCGCGCTTGCGCCAATTGTCAGCATGCCAAAAGGGCACTTCCTCCGTGTTTGGCCTCACAACCAAAGTCATGCGGCCGTCGCCAAGCTGCTCTTCAAAGTGCGGATCCTCAGGCACAAAAAGTGTGGTCCGCTGTTCGTAGTGGACACGCACCCAGCAAGACGGAAAGTCAAGCCACAAGTCGTGCGTGTACGGCTGGCCTGTTGCCGGGTCCTTCTCCAAAAGTTGTTCAAGCAAAGCCTTCCGAAAGTCTTCCAGCGTTCCTGAAGAAGTCTGCTCAAGGCGCAGACGGAAAGTGTCCTCGGTGCTTTGCTCCTTGAGGCCTTTAGTGGGTTGCTTGAAAAGTGGTTGTGGGGCCTCTGCTAAAGGTTCCTGCTGCTGTTCAAGTGGTTGTGGTTTGCGTGCAGGTGTGGGTTCAGGTAAAGTTGTCTGTTTTCCAACCAGCTTGCGGCCAGTGGGCTTGGAGGAAAGTTTAAAAACAGTCTTGCCAACAAAGCGTTCAGGAGCAGGCCCTTTAGGGTTCTCCGCTTTACGCCAGTTGTCGGTGAAAGTCTCTTTTCTGCCATCTGCGTACTCAAAGTAGGTTACGCGTTCATCCGAAAGGTCCTTCAGGTCTACAGGGCGATCTTTCGTCCCTTCGGGAGAAAAGAAAGTAGCTCTCGCTCTTTTGTGTATGCGGGTCAAAGTGTTACCCGAGAGCTCCCATTTATCAATGTGATACTGAACAACAGGTCTAAAGACGGGGGCCACTATGGTACCTTGTGCGCTCTGTGTGTGAAAAGTGTTACACACAACCTCAAACTCTTCTCGGTTGAAAGGTGCCAAAGTGGGCCTCAAGAAAAGAAGTGAACCATGCCTAGTGATGGGCACCTTGTGTCCATCAGGTGTTTCCAAAGTGTTCGCCTTCTTAGAAGAAAGGTTCACGTCAAAGCCTGACCTCAAAAGTCTGCCAACTGACACCACACAGTAGGGAACGTCGCAAACGTAGAAGTGTAGGAAACAGGGCTGGCCCTCAAAGTCAACCTTCACAAGTCTCCTTCCAAAGACCGTCAAAGGCTGACCCGAAATGCTCCTCAAAGGTGGAGCTTTCCCTGTGAGTGGCAAAAGTGGCCACTCTGAGGCAAAGTCCTTCGGGCAACAGTGAGTTGCAGCACCTGAATCAAAGAGGATCCACGGCTCGGTGTCCTCCAAAGTCGAAGCAATCAAATGCTCCTCCAAAGCAATATCCTTGAAAGTCGTATTCAAATTCTTAAGATCAAGATCCCCAACACTGAAAAGTCGTTGGTTCTCCTCTGTGCGACCATTCAAGGAGAAAGTCTCAAGCGGTGCCATACAGGCCGTAGGCTCAAAGTTCTCACACTCTCCGAAACCACCAAAGCTGAAGTCTACAACTCCATTCGTCATCCCATCAACTCTGAAAGTGTTTCCCCAAACCAAAGTTGCCGAGAACAACAGCCGACATGAGCAAAGTGCTCGGGCTGATGCTTGCTTTAGCTTTAGGCTTGGCTTTGGGGGTTGAAAGTCCAGGTGGTCCTTGCAAAGTCACAGCCGACACGGGCAAAGTTGCCGCGCCGCTTGACGAGGAAGCCTCTTCCTTGGGCTTCGCCAAAGTTTCGGCCTTCGCCGAAGGAGCAGCCTCTGAAGGCCAAACTTCTGAAGTAAAGTCCGAAGACCAACCCCAAGGGTCAACATCCCAGGACCAAGCATCCCAAGACCAAAGTTGATCATCCCAAGTCTGATCCCAACTGTTAGGGTCGTTGTAAAGTTCCGTGACCGCGTTCACGGCCCATTCGGTCCAATCTGTCCAATCATCGGACTCACCAAAGTGATTCCAATCTCCTGCGTCCTCCGACGGGTAAAGTTCTTCACCTTCAACAGCTGAAACACGGTTCAAAGGACAGTTGCTCGAAAAGTGACCTGTTTTACCACACGTCCAGCAAACCGAAGTAGAACCAGAAGTGGGCTTTCCTTTTCCTTTTCCTCTTCCTTTTCCTTTCATCATAAAGTTCCAATGTTGTCCTCCTTTTCCAAACGACTTCGAAAAGTCCTTTCCTTTTCCTTTTCCTTTTCCTTTTCCTTTTCCCTTTCCTTTCCTTTTCCTTTTCCTTTTCCTTTTCCTTTCCACAAAGCTGCCGCTAAGGCACCAATGTCCATGGGAGCCGAGGCTCCACCAGCAAAAGTTGCATTCGCCGAAGTTTGTGCAACTGGATTCATCAAAAGTCGTGACCTATGGTACTCAAGGATAACTTCTCGAACTTGAGCATAAGTTGCCAAAGTTTGGGCATTCAACCTAAGGTGTTGTTGTAAAGCTCCAGAGGTTTTGTTCAGCAAAGTTGCAACAAGAACACCATCAGGCAAAGGTTGTCCTACTTGTCGTTCATATCTACTCTTGATTGTCTCCCAAACATTAAAGTCCTGCTCAAAGGTTGCTGGGTTGAACTTAAAGTCCAACAGCTGCGTCAAAAGTGACGTACTCCGCGTGGCTCCTGGCAGCGAGAACTTCTTGTAAAGTCTCCTCCATGTCTCAAAGCCGTTGCTGTCCTCGTTCTGACGAACAACAAGTTTCGCCGAATCTTTCACAAGTTGAGAAATCAGGTAATGTAGCTTTCGGGAGAAAAGTACTCGGTTGGCGGTCTGTTCCGGATCAACATCACCTGTGCCCAAAGTGACTGTTAGATCAGCATCTGTAAAGTCACCTTGCGCTGCCGTTCGCATTTCGGCATTGTCCATCAAAGTCACAGCACCTACCTCGAACATCGAAATGTACGCTTTAAAGTTCCATGACCATTCTTCCCAGTCTGCTGGGTTCCCAGAGAAAGTCTCTGGCAGAGGAAGCCGAAGCTTCCCTGTAAAGTTGTCTTCACCTCCTAGCGCCATGTTGTTCTACCAAAGTTCCGTGGAGCTTTCAGCTCCGCTACCATGCGAAAGTACACTAGTCCAGAAAGCGCACCAAACTACCCTAAAGTAATTCCGTGCACAAGCTCACACGACTTAGACCAAAGTAACCCTGAAGTTCAGCAGCGCCTTTTCTCGTAGGGCAAAGTGGTCTTGAGCCAACGACGGTTGGCAAAGTCTGGGGGAGAAAGGGAGGTGTTATTTTCACAAAGCATGTATGCCTGTACTGTAAGTATGTAGGTGTGTACGTATGTAGGTATGTTATGTCGGTATGCAAGTACGCAGGTATGTTGTATGTAGGTATGTACGTGTAGGTATCACATATGCATGTATGTATCCCACCTTGTATGTGCATATGTGTATGTGGGTACGTATGTACGCATGTACATGTGTGGGTAAGTAAGTATGTATGCATCAAGTTTTTGTACGTACATTCGTTGCATGTGTATGTACGTCTGTGTTAGTATCTGCAGATTGTCGGTGGATGTGTACATGTACATGTGCACATATGTGTGTGGATGTGAATGATTTCTGTTTTAGTGGGTGTTTCTGTTCGTGTGTGTTTTCGGCTGCAGGAAGTTGCCCCTTGATCGAAGTAGATCTGGAGCACAACTGCATATGCAATGCAATGTGTGTATGTGTTTGCTTCTAAGTTAGTGGATGTGTTGCCCCACGTACTTTTCAGCTTCCAGATCTTCTAGAGAAAGGTGTGAATGAACAACCCGATAGGCGGCACAGAACCCAGGTGCGTAATTGGCGAGAGATCGCGGAGTACATCAGCCAGAACCCGGAGACTTGAGGGTCAATTTCGGCAACACCAAGCCGTTGAATAGCTGTGGGATGGGTTTGGCAAAGATATCTTTGTTGGTTGATGCAGGCTGAGAACAGGCAAGGATAACGGACATTCGAAAGATCCCGACACCTTGCAGCTTAGCGGCGGCATCTTGTTCGGCATGGAAAATTCAGCATCGTGCTGCATGGAGCTTTGCGCGGATTCAACAAGACCGTGCATCGTGCTGTTTTGGTTTTGGAAAGGTATGCTCTCGGAGCACTCTGCAGTAGCGCGTGCTCGCCATACGAAGCCCTGCAACTAGGGGTGCCAAGATAGCTTTGTGTATCAGGAACTAATGGTTTTGTTTGTGGGCTGGTCTATACGTGTGTGGTGCGTGTATGTGTGTGTGTGTGTGCGTGCGTGTGTGTGTGTGTCGACTGTGGGGGTGTGGGGGCGTGGGTGTGTGGGTGTGTGGGTCTGTGTGGGTGTGTGTGGGTGTGTGGGTGTGTGGGTGTGTGGGTGTGTGGGTGGGTGGGTGTGGGTGTCGGAGTGGGTGGGATGGTGGTGGTTGCGCAAATGTCATGTCTACTTGGGAGGAGACAGTGATCCGTGAGCTGGAGTCTTGCTTGCCAAAGAGCAAGAAGGACTCTTGCAGCTGAAGAAGAGTTCTTTTCCGCAAGAAGCGCGTGTTCTCCTGGTTTTGAAGGACACCGGCGATATCTGTGGGGTTGAGCTCAGAGTGGCGCCTTCTCGGATGTTTTGATTTGTATGGAGAAGGGGTCAAGACCCCTCGAACTTGACCCGGTGCGTCGATGAGTGAGTGTGTGTCTGTCAGTCTGTCACAGTCAGCCAGTCGGTCAGTCAACCTGTCAGCCTGTCAGCCTGCCTGGCTGCCTGGCTGCCTGGCTGGCTGCCTGCATGTCGGTCCGTCTGTCCATCGGTCTGTCGGTCGTTGTGTCTGTCGGCCTCGGGCATTGGATGGCATTGGTGTCGGTCTTGGTTTGTCTGTCTGTTTGTCTGGCTCTCGGTTTCTGTCTCCGTCTCGGCCTGTCCCGGTCTCAGTGCCCGCATCAGTGTTCGGTGTCTGTGGCTGGCTGGCTCGCTCCCACTCTCACTCTCGCTCGCACTCATACTCTCACTTGCGCTCGCCGTCGCGATCGCCCTCGCAACGCTCTCCCTCTCCCACTCCCTCTCCCTCTCCCTCTCCCTCTCCCTCTCCCTCTCCCTCTCCCTCACACTCACACTCTCGCTCACACTCACACTCTCGCTCACACTCACACTCACACTCTCGCTCGGACTCTCGGACTCTCGGACTCTCGGACTCTCGGACTCTCGGACTCTCGGACTCTCGGACTCTCTCGGACTCTCTCGGACTCTCTCGGACTCTCTCGGACTCTCTCTGACTCTCTCTCTCTCTGACTCTCTCTGACTCTCTCTGACTCTCTCTGACTCTCTCTGACTCTCTGTGACTCTCTGTGACTCTCTGTGACTCTCTGTGACTCTCTGTGACTCTCTGTGACTCTCTGTGACTCTCTGTGACTCTCTGTGACTCTCTGTGACTCTCTGTGACTCTCTGTGACTCTCTGTGACTCTCTCTGACTCTCCCTCCCTCCCTCCCTCCCTCCCTCCCTCCCTCTCTCTCTCTCTCTCTCACTCACTCAACACTCACTCCCTCCCTCGCTCACTCATCACTCACTCACTCTCTCTCTCTCTCTCTCCCCTCTCTCTCTCTCTCTCTCTCTCTCTCTCTCTCTTACTCACTCACTCACTCACTCACTCACCACTCACTCACTCACGCACGCACGCACGCACGCACGCACCCACGCACGCACGCACGCACGCACCCACGCACTCACTCGCTCGCTCGCTCGCTCGCTCGCTCACTCACTCACTCACTCACTCTCTCTCAGTCTCTCTCTCCCACCCTATCTCTCTCTCTCTCTCACTCTCTCTCTCCCTCTCTCTCTCTCTCACTCTTTCTCTCTCCCACTCACTCACTCACTCACTCCCTCGCTCACTCACGCACTCACTCACTCACTCTCTCTCTCTCCCCTATCTCTCTCTCTCTCTCTCACTCTCTCCCTCTCTCTCTCTCTCTTCTCTTTCTCTGTCTCACTCTTTCTCTCTCCCACTCTCTCACTCTCTTTCTCACTCTCACTCTCACTCTGTCACTTTCTTTCTCTCTCTCACTCTCTCTCTCTCTCTCTGTCTCTGTCTCTGTCTCTGTCTCTGTCTGTGTCTCTGTCTCTGTCTCTGTCTCTCTCCGTCTCTCTGTCTCTCTGTCTCTCTGTCTCTCTCCCTCTCTCCCTCTCTCCCTCTCTCCCTCCCTCTCACCCTCTCACCCTCTCACGCTCTCCCCCTCTCACCCTCTCCCCCTCTCACCCTCTCACCATCTCCCCCTCTCCCCCCTCTCCCCCTCTCCCCCTCTCCCCCTCCCCTCTCCCCCTCTCCCCCTCTCCCCCTCTCCCCACCCTCTCACCCTATCCTCTCACCCTCTCACCCTCCGACTTTCTCACCCTCTCACTCACCCAGTCACACTCAGTCACACTCAGTCACACACACACACACACACACACACACACACACACACACACACACACACACACACACACACACACACACACACACACACACACACACACACACACACACACACACACCACACACACACACACACACACACACCACACACACACACACACACACACACACACACACACACACACCACACACACACACACACACACACACACACACACACACACACACACACACACACACACACACACACACACACACACACACACACACACACACACACACACACACACCACACACACACACACACACACACACACACACACACACACACACACACACACACACACACACACACACACACACACACACACACCACACACACACACACACACACACACACACACACACACACACACACACACACACACACACACACACACACACACACACACACACACACACACACACACACACACGTACACACACACACACACACACCCGCACTCACCCGCACTCACCCTCACTCACCCTCACTCACCCTCACTCACCCACTCACCCACTCACCCACGTACCCACTCACCCGCTCGCCCACTCACCCTCCCTCCCACTCGCCCACTCACCCACAGGCTCCCACGCACTCGCCCACTCGCCCCCACTCGCCCACTCGCCCACTCGCGCCCTCGCGCCCTCGCGCACTCGCTCACTCACCCTTTCACAATCTCATTCTCTCACCTACAGTATTCACGCACTCGCTCACTCGCTCACTTTTATTTTTTGTGTGTCTCTCTCTCTCCGTCTTTCTCTCTCTCTCTCTCTCTGTGTCTCTCTCTCTCTCTCTTTTTCTCTCTCTGTGTCGTATGTTTGCACTGTCTTTGTTGGCATTGTGAGCTTCCGAAGGCTTTGCCAATTATGCAGGCAACAGTAGCGGATGCAGTACATGAATTGCAGATGTTGCAGAAGCAGAGGTGCCTGGAGATGCCCAGCCACCACCCGACGAGGCTCTCACTGTCAGCTCCAAGGGTGAAATTGCCAGTGTCGCCCATCCTCTAGGATGCCGAAGAGGCTTCGTGGGAAGAGCGGGGAGAGTCTTCCATGCTAACCTAGGCACGCGACGTTGGTCGTCTTTGCGGCGAGCGGCGTTTCCACAACGCAGTGTGCTGCTTATTCTTGACGTGGGCATACGTGTCTCCAATGAGGCTTAGGCCTGGTGTGCAAGTTAAGGCAAGCCTTGGCAGCGTGTTGTTCGACGATCCATGCCTCCGTGCACACGTCCACCGCTTCCTGGCGCTATGATGGATAATGACGGAGGGTGATTCCAGATTAGCGTTCTCCTGGCCATTCTTACCCCCACGGCATTAGTTTGAATGCTGTAGCAGCAGTTGCTTTTGGTAAAGACAGCTCAAGGGGCTGCAGTGCAGTGATGCTTCGAGGTTTCGCTGAGGCAAGCCTCGAAGCTCCTTTGTCCAATGCCAAGCTCGAGGCGCAACGAACAGAAACCATGACAAGAGCAGGATCACTTAGGAAGACTTCTCGTTCCAGCCCACATTGCACTTGAGCCATATCCAATGGGAAGCAGGAAGCATGCACCGGTGCCGCAACTTTTAATGCCTGCTCGCTCGGAAAATGATTGCATGGTTGTGCGTGTGTGCATCAAGTGACACTCGAGCGAAGACTCTAGTTTTGTAGATCCCGCCTCATCCGCCCTGACGGCCCTGACGACTTCCAGTCACATAGAGAGGTCTGTTCCAGCGTGCCCGTCAAAAACGTTCTGTTGCTCGTGTCCGTTCGGTCGCAGACAGAACGCCGACCCGGTCGTTCAGATCGAGGCGAAAGAAAAGGAGCCTCGACCGCGTGAACGCCAGTAGGCATGTAGAGAGGAGTGAAAGTTTGTCTGTGCGGTTGCATGTCGCGGCCACGCGCACCTGGAAGCCATGCGTGATTCAAGCATGCCAGCCAACGACTAAAGCCGCGCGAAACAAGCACGCAAGAATGTAGGTATCTAGGGTTGAGAGCATTTAGTGTTTAGTGTTTTTGCGCTGTGGGGTCGTATCCGTATAAGGTTTAGTGTCTTTACCATTGTTAAGGTCTGAGGTGTTGAGCGTCGAGCTTGATGGGTTCCATTGGTTCAGGGTGTTTGGGGCTCGGGCCTGTCTTCAAAGTAGAGGCTTTATTCGGTTAAGGGCTTGAAGGGTGTAGTCTGGGCTTGCTTGGGGCTGATTTGTAGGACGCAAGGTCGAGAGCGTTTGCGTGTTTTAAAGATCTTGACGCTTCAGGTTTTGTGAGGTTGGTTTGAGTCTGCGTGCCCTCCGGGGCACGCTTCATACCTTTGTGGAGTTGCGAGTCGGGTGCCCAGGGCCCGAATCCACAGCGTCAGTGCGAGAATCCCGGTGCACGAATCCGGACGTGAATCCCAAGCATCTCTTGCACACGAATCCGCCACGCCGTTGTGCACCCGCCGGTGAGTGCCCGAGTAGAGTTTTTCCAGTGCACGAATCGGACTCCGAGCTCGTATACAGGCATTGCAGGCCGTATAGTGCGAACGATTCAATGCTGCCAAGCCGCCTCAGTTCCGTGCGAGCAGGCGCAGCTGCTGTCAAGCAGCGCAGTGGTTCCTCACCTACACGTCAGCAGAATCCTCGTCTTGTTGAAACCGCAAAGTTCGTCTTCGCTTCCATTGATTGCAACAGTCTTCTTAGTCAGAGATTCGGGGGCCGACCGCAAAAGGCCAGAGGAGCTCTCTAGGGAGGGACTCGTGAAGCACACTTGTCTTGTGTGCGCAGTAACAAGCGCGAACGGCGTAGCGGCCCTATGAGCAGTCTCTCCCTCGCCACGCTATATGGGTTTTCGGCGGCGGTCAGTCCTCAGCGGGCCGGTGCTGAGATGCTTACCCGGCGCCGGCCGTGGGCTGAACAAGCGCGCCGAACGGCTCCTGCAGCGCTGCACATCGCTAGGAGTGCGGCGATTGTTGGCAGGGCTGCTCCATTTTCACAAAGGTTACTCAGTGGCAGTGAGACATTCTCGAGACACGGGAGGCCCGTAGCCGCAAGGACACCTACCTCTTCGAGCTTGACAGAGGCTTATCTGAAAAGCAGGAGTAGGCTAAGAAGAAGTTTGTTTTGGGGTCCGGAAAGTGGATTCAACCCGAGACACTCAGGAGAGACGAGTTGTCATCAGTCTGAAAATTGGCAAAGCAGCTGCTTGACCGAAGTGATTCTGATGCGAAACGTGAAAACCAGCCTAGCAAGCTCATTAAAGTCGCCAAGCAACCAAGGCATCGTTCTCCTCTTCATTCGGAAGAGTTTGCTGAATGTGATCGTGACCGTGTGCTTGAAAAGGGCGAAGGAAGACCGCCAGCATGGTGATGATTCATTGATGGTTGTAGGGAGAGCACGTAAGCCACGGTACTATAAGAATCCATCGCAAGGACCGGCGATACCAAGTGAGTTGCACCAGCGCCCTGGGTGGTTTTGGAATGATGTTATCTTTTGTTGCTTGAGCTGAGTTTATGCAGCAGTGACTATCGAAGCGATGAGGTCTGGGCGGCAATGTCATTGAAACGATCCAGATGGGAGCTTCTCGATGTGGACTCTGCGAGCTTCTTGCGCCTCAGGGTTGTTGAGTGCCGAAGATGCGCAGAACATCTCGCCAGCATTATTGCGGAGCTCAAATAGAGGTCTCAGGATGGGTTTTCGCCTTTATATGCCCAGGCAGGCAGCCAGCAGAACAGTCAGCCTGGCAAAGCTTTGAGTGATGGTCCGCATGTCACAGTAACTGAACGCGATCAATTTTTTGGCAAAACGCCACAGATATGAGCCTTGAGCTTGGCAGCTTAGGCTTCGGCTCGCCTGGGGGAGCTACGGGAGCACCTCTGCAAGCGGCGACCCGGCTGATAGGTCCTGCATCGTGTTCGCCGCTGTCAAGAGAGGTTGGGTGGGACTGAGACTCGTAGGCTATGCAACACTCGGCGGCTGCAACGACTACCCTGCTCTCTCGCTGACTCTCGCTCTCGCTCGCTCTCGCTCTCGCTCACTCTCGCTCTCGCCATGCTCTGCGTCAATGTGATGAAGTTTGCGTTCTTTTCATTTGGCCAAGGAAGACTAGCCTTAGCCAGAGACTTGAACCCCCGACGATGCAACACAATTGTGTGCGGAACGCCTGCATCGGAACCAGGCTCGTCCTGTCGAGGAACAGATTGACTCTTCTTGCAGAGGCCAGGCAGCTGCAAGGGTTTGTCCCCCGCTGCGGCATTCGGTGCAAGCGCTGGGCTACGCGAGAATCGTGGCAACCAGCAAACATCGGCTTGTGAAGGGCTTTGCAACTTCTCCGGGCGGGCATGCAGATGGACCAGATCAGTTTGCGCACATCTGCCCATGTCAAATCAACTCAAAATTGAAATGGTGCCGGGAGGCGTTCTCTATTCACAATTGGCTGCCTTCACATCCGAGCCATTTTAAAGAGCAAATAAACTTTAAATGCAGACGCAGGCTGGAACCGTCCTCTCTGTGGATCGAGATGGCCAGGCACTCGAAGCTGTGGCCTGAGAAGGGAGTACACGACCTTGCCATAAAGTGCTCTATGCTTCGTTCCCATTGGGACGGATTTCGAGATGTCTACATGGACGTTGCATCACTAAGTACATGTGACATGCTAAAATGCGTGGCACTGACAAAACCACAGAGTTGGAGAGGTCCTGGACTGTGCTGTTGCGGCGCGGGGTGGTGCGTGATCCACATCGCCAGGGCATGGCTTGCACGCCCCGGTTGAAGGCATTGTGTGCAGAGCGTGCGGGGAGAAGCCTGGAATCCAGCGCTGAATAAAGCATGTGACGCAGCAGAAGCAAGGGTTCTCCCAGTGCCACCGTAATTTGTTCGGAAGAAAATCTTCGTTTTTGTCGCTTGAGCTGCGGGATACGATCGTATTTCGCTGCGGTTAGCCAGAGGGATGAGTGGTGCTGTCCAGAAGGCGGTGGAATGACTCAGCTCAGAATATGCTAAGCCCGAACCTGTGTCTAAAGCATGCGTCGACACACTGATCCCCTCTGTCGGTGCAGTGGGGGCAGCTGCTTGCTCCGCCCAGCATGCAAGTTTCGAAGGCTGTACGCAGAAGACTGTACAGCGTTGTGCAGAGTCAGGATCTTGCGAAGATTGGGCTTATGCACGACGTGTTACGCGATGATGCGGAAATTTCGGCTGCAGTGTTTCCGACTCGAATCTTTCATCATGGATCAGAGACGACCAAATGATCGTGATTCCACCTAGACTCACAAGACGCAGAGGTTGATTCATTGAAGTGTAGGACATGACAGATAGATGCTCTTCTTTGCTAAAGCGTGCTGCGCCACGACAGCCCGCCTTCACATCCGGATGTTTGAGGCTTCAAGATGCCTCAACACTCTTCACGTGCTCCGTCTGGTACCGGCACGTTTGCGCGAAGGCTCACAGCCTTTTACAGAGCGTATCTTTTCCTGGAGTGCGTCCAGTGTTGCCATGGCCATGGAGAAAGCAACAGCTCTCCTGAAGGCATCTCTACTTTGTTTTTACGTTTCAAGGGCATGCGGGTGTGTAGACGGGTAAGAGCTTGACGTACTGTATTGGTTTTTGTGTAGACGGGAAGGGGGTGATAAGAGTTTCGCTAGGGTGCCCAGCTGTCCAGCGCAGTCTCTTGTCGAGACTGCTTTGTGGAAATCTTGGCGACGTGTCTGCATGCGGCTGTCTTGCTATGCGGTCGGTAAGGCTGTGGGAAACGTCATAATGCTTGTACACAATACTCAGTCCGTCAAAGAAAACCGGATCGGCAGCAGTCGATCCACATGTGCCGCTCTGCGAATTTTGATGGCCCGCGGGGGCTTCGTTTCTTTTTTGTTGGTCATATTGTGCTGGTTTCTTGTCATGGATTCTACTCAGATGCCTGCCTGCATGAAAGAACGAGTGATGAGTAATAAAGCGAACTTGATAGGAGAAGAATTGAGAAGAGGGAACCTCATGACTACAGGAGGAAAGGTGTCCTGCAGGAAGAGCTGTGCAGTTGTGGGTTTGGGGACTGCATTGTTTATTGGCGGTTGAAGTCTGAAGTGTGGTACAGTATGAGTCAAACTTGAAGTGGTTTCTGGGATCTTCCGATCGCGCTTTGGGCCTTTCGCTTTCAGGCGCTCCCTTCTGCCAAGGCTGGGGTGCGGGCCGGTGCGGGTGCAGACAAACGGGCAGGGGACTTCAGCCCAGGATGCATAGGACTTGAATCGATGCACGGCGAAGCGGTGCAGACCGTCGACTCCTGACTTCAAGCCCCGCCAGGTGTGCACCTCGCTGAGCTCAGCGGTGAGCGCCGCAAATGCATCAGAGGACAGGTGAACCATTGGTGAATGTAAGACGGATGAATCACTCTTGTGACTTATGACCCAGCAATACCAATGCTAACAGTTGCTCGAAGATCCGATCCGACTCTCGACCGGACCGGCGTCCTCTGAGGAGGGTAACGGCAAGTGCTGGGCCGCTCTTCCGCTTGGAAGCTCCAGCCTCTCCGAGGTCGGCTGGGCGGGGCCCATTCCGGAGCCATCAGGGCTTAGACCTCAGGCTTCCGCTCCCTTCTGCTTGCGTTCAGGTGCAGACGGCCCTCCAGCAGGGATCGAAGCAGCTCGCAGTGCTGTTAGTGGCCACACAGAAGCCTGTCTCGCAGCTGGAGGTGGGCAGATGGCATTTTCAGATGCAATACCGAAGCAGTGTCTGACTTTGCTGACTTGATTTGCGGACGACAGTAGCTTGGATTTCAGTGTTGCTCTGGATCCGCTGTGGTGTTGCACTTGCAAGTGCAATCCCGGAGTGAGTGCTTCACAGACATTTCATCCGACACCCTGGTTCACAGTTTCTTTGCCCTCGCCTCGGCTTCATTAAGAGGTGCTGCGTGCGATGGAGTACGGTGGTGTCTATGTGGCTGCTGGAGAATTAGAGAGCTCAGGCAAGGAGCTCTTTGCACATCAGTTTCAGGTTGGGGCAGAGGACTTGCCTTGCAGCTTTCTTCGTTGTATCCGGGTCCTTGCCGGGACAAATTCCGTGTCAGAGGAGCGTACAAGGCATACTAGCCCTTACAAGACCCTGGACATCGCACTGCTTCACAGAGTCGAAGAGGTTCGCATGGTTGTGCACCGTGCGTTTGACCCTCTCCCATCAAGACCCATCAGGTCTCAAGACGGCCTTAACCCGGAAGCCTTGGCCCCGCAGCCTAAACATCCCAACCGTTCCGCAAGGGATAGCCGGTACATGTTTTGTGCGGATAGTGCAATATATATATATATATAATATGATATATGGTAAGATACACACATAGGGGTCCGCTTATGCGCAACCATACAATGGACTCTCGGCTTTGAGGATTGACGAAGGTTCCGAGTGTGAGTTTTGGCGCTCCGAGCACAGTGCCTCGCTGCCGTTGGCTCACCAGACGGCCGTTGAGCCAGATTCTTTGCTTGTGTGGGAAAACATGGGCCCTTGATCCACGTGTGTTGTGATTGCTTTTCTTTTGCGAGCTTAAAGCAGTACAAGACCGAAGTGGCTCGATGTCCGTAAGATTGGGGAATTCGCCGTGCAGGCGCCCTCCTCAACGAGGCTGCTGGCTACACTGAGGGCCCTGCCTTCGTGCTGCTCGCTCCAGCAGAGGCCATCAAGGTGTGGTCGGATGTCGGTTTAGTGAAGGTGGCAGTCCAAATCATGCCAGCCGGCCAACATTTTTTCAGCTGCGAGGGTGACGAGAACTGGACATCCTTCAGGCGCATGGCACTTGTGGTCATGATGCAGGGTAAATCTGATTCTAGATTTTGGCTAGCAGGCTTCTTTCTGGCGGTAGTTTGCAGCGTCGAGGTACGATCCCCGCAAGGAAGACAAAGGCCGGCTGCGAAATGAAGCGGCTCGAGAGAAGCACAGCTCTTTGAGTGATTTTGAGGATGCGTTGATGTTGCTGCGTATCTGTTAAACCGTTCTTAGATTGCACACCAAAGCTACTGAACAGCAATCCGCGAAGGCTCGCATCATTGGCTCGAGTCGCACGTGGAAGCAGCACTGCCAGGCTTGCCTGCCTTCTCCACAGACAGCACGCGCGTCCGTCAGGAGATTCAGGCCTGTCCAGACCCGCTTGGGATTTCGCGGCAGATGTGTAACAGGCTGAGGCACTGACCAGTTCTGTTTTGTCATCTAACCGTCTTGATCGATTGGCACAAGGAGACGTTCCGTGCAGTTTGGAGTTGCTACCATCAGTCTACCATGTTTTGCGAAGCCTCTCCAGCATGGCTGCTGCCTGTCAGAGCCAAACGGCACATTGCAGCAGAGCCAGGAAGCCATAAAGAACAAAGGGCAAGGTTTTCATCGATTGGCTGCGGTTTTCCGATGAGTTGCAGCTGGTCTGTGAAGCGTGCTTGGACTTCGCTTGACGGAGACCGCTGAGAGAAGCTTGAGGTATACACCTGCAGACACAACTGCCAAACTCCCATGTAATTGCGTGTCAGGGCTTCCTTTCCAGGGAGAGTCTGCTGACGCTGATTGCGAAGAAGCTTGGGACTTGAATTCGAAGTCTACCTGTGCACAAAAGATCAACAATTCGCAATCTTGTCAAGGTCGTTGCCTTCTGCCACGGCTGCCGACGGTGGTGATGCTGCTGCCCTTAGCGAAGGCCGCGGACTGAGACGAGAGCTGTGCGACAACCACACAAGTTTTCGAAGCTCGTCCAGGCCTTGCTGCGGCCTCAAAGACCGCCAGGGGCTGAACAGATGTGCAGGGTTTGGTGGTGACGATGATGGTGGCAAAGTGGACGTTATCAGCCCGCCCCCCCACCTCCGCCGTAGACCCAAGACCCCGAAAACAGCAAAAACGCCAAGACCCCGAAAACAGCAAAACGCACGACCGTAATCCATGCGCTAGCAAAAACTAGTTTGTATGATGTTTGGATTGTCTGGCGTGTTTGGTATGGTTGCGATCGGAAGTGGCATGACTTTGGTTGGGCACTGAGATGGCGGACTTTGGCTGAGCGGAGGGCAGTGCTGCGGACCTTCCAACAGCCCAATTCGGAGAAGTGCATACACACATACATATATACATATATATATATATATATATATATATATATATATTAATGGGGTCACGCGCTCCGCGCCGCCCCCCCCCCCCCCCCCCCAAGGTCAATGGTCCGGATATAGGGTGGGGTGCCCCCCTGCCCTGTGGTGTGGAATCCCTCTTCCCCCCTTTGGGTTTAGTTTAGTGTTTAGCTTAAGCTTCGAGTTTTGGGTTTACGGTTACAAAGTGTAAGGCTTCGAGTCGAAGGGCTTAGGGAGGATTTGCGGTGTATGTTCTGCTTAGGGCTTAGAGCGTGCATTTAGGCGGGGTTTAGGGTTGGGTGTAGGGTTTAAAGTACAGCTTAACGTGTCAAGGTTAAGCGAAACAGGAGCACGCGCTACGTTGGAGGGTTTACGGCTTGCGAAGGGCTTGCGTGCGAGCCCTGGCCGCCCCCCTTTTCCGCGCGCCAGCCCCCTCCCCACCCCTTCACCCCTACCAGACCATACCATTGGGGGGGAACGCTAGACGCCTGACCATATATATATATATATATATATATATATATATATATGGATAGATAGTGCCCCCCTATGTGCCTGCACTTTTCTTGCCTTTCACAATGCCTTTATGGGTGTATTGGGGCGAACAGCAAGCTAGACTCGCAGTCGACGTACGCATCAGCAAACGTAATGGGACGCGTTGACAACAGACACACATGCACATGCAATGAGTTGGAAACACTGTAAGTGCCAACAGAATTGTGCACATGGTTCCATATTCGTCAGGACATTTATCACGGCAGATAAGCGCTTTGCTAGCCTTGCTTGCTTACGACCTTGTTTCGTTTCGCTGGAGCTCAAAACGTAACCGTGTCTGTTCGTTTTTGTCAGTCATCAGGCTCATTAGGGCATGTTTTCTTGCGACGTAACAATCCCGACATTGCCGATTCCATCTTGAAGTTGGTTTTGGGACATGTGCCAGACAGCGGTGCCTTGAATTATTCGAAGATGCCAAACTACTGATTAGACAAAAATGGAAAGCTTCAGATTTGTATTTGCTTCATCCTAGTTGAACCGTGGACGTTCATAGTCACCAAAGTATATGTTCGCATAACATTAAGCACTACTTTCTTACCGTATAGTTGCGTGCTTTCTGATATTATATGGTATTATCAGCTATCATGTCGTCATTGCTCACTGGCATGCGGGCACAAGTACATGCAAAAACAACCTGTTTGTGATGCACCTGAGTTAATATTCAGACATATAAAACAGACATTTAAGCATTGTTTAGCACGGAATTTGGGTTCAGTCGTGTCACAGAACTTCTGTGCAGGTACTCCTTAGTTACTAGTTCAAACATGCCTTTTCAGCATGAAACCTCGGTTATGTGTAACCCAGTTTGCAGTGTGGTATTTGAGCAGCTCGCTGTTTTTGCGCAGAGATGTTGTTCGGCGGGGTTCAATATCTAGAAACTTGTGTTTAAGTTGTAAAATCTACAGAATCTTCCGTCTGTGATTCGCTACAAATCATTGGTGCAATAGCTAAAATTCACTTAAACGCTCCCCTGTTACTTAAGCGATGTTGAATGCCGAGTTTTCTACTACATGTCTGTAATCATCGTGCTAACAAAAAGTAAACTGTAAGTATTCACTCAATAATCGTCGAACATGTGATGTTCACATAGAGCTTCACCAGAAAGACCTACATAATGTTAAACTAAGATATTGTGAAATAGGTTCTAATAACAAGTAAATGCTACAGCAATGACTGGCACCCGTGCTTGTTTAATACCCAGTCGGAATGAAAGCACTTCCTTTGTTCTAATCCTCTTCTGTTGAATACTTCGTCGATCGGTCGGTCGGTAGGTCCGGTAGGTAAACAAAAATCGTATTAATGCACCGTTCAAGTTAATTATGCAACGGGGCATTTCGTGATTTTTGTTATGTCCTTCTCAATGAATTATGCGATTGAGCGGTGAAAAGTGTCCAGGAACATTTTCGCCCGTTATTGCTACGGGGTGAATGACTGTCTATCTGTCTGTTGTGTGCTGCCACGTCGAGTTGCCACGTCGACAACGAAGATTAGATTCATATATGTTCATGAAGATTTCGAAAATCTGCCAATTGTGTGGCTTGGGCAGTACATAAGCGTGAGGCAAAAACATGAAATATTCAGCATTACTGGATAGTTGCTCTGACAGTGAAACTGTAGGAAACGGATAGCAACTGAATGAGACTTGGGTGGGGAGAACCCACACTACAGGGACACAAACATTGGTTGTTGTGGCCAAACCTGGCCAACGCCTTTGCGTATGAAGTTCTGCAGAAAACACAGGCGGCATAAACACATCGGGGGGGGGGGGGTGTAGTAAATTTCTAGATACATATATACATATAGTTGTGGCCGCGCAGGTCGCTTCGTGAATCCACTTTGTGCGCCGGTCAAGTGTTATTGGCGTCCTTTGACCGGCGTCGCCAACCTATATCCTATCAGACCGATCTCAAGTCCACATCGACATCGGCCATGGCGTCATTCTTGCAAGCAGAACGTCCAGGCCGGGGGCGAGGCGACCCTCTCCCTGGCGGATGTGTTCGTTGACCCCAAGCGCTCACCATCAGGACGTTGACAACGGCGGTTTTCCTTCCCCGTCCGTGTTTGGTGCCCTAACGATGAAGGCGGCGGTGGCTTGCCTTCACCGTGTGTTTTTGGAACCAACACCACGGTGAAGCCGCTTGCCTTCGCCATGTGTTTGGGCACCGAAACCAGGGAAGGCAACTCGCTTGCCGTCACGGCGCCATGGTGAAGGCAACACCCGTGTGTGTTTGGCACCAAAGCCATGGTGAAGGCAGCAGCCGCTTGCTTTCACCGTGTGGTTTTAGCACCAAAGCCATGGTGACAGCAACGGCCGCTTGCCTTCACCGTGGGTTCTTTGCACCAAAACCATGGGGAAGGAAACGGCCGCTTGCCCTCAAATTGTGTTTTTTGGGCACCATGGTGCAAACAGAGGCGGCTTGCCTTCACTGTGTGCTATTGTTGTGAAAATCTGGTTCTGCCAACACTGGGTTGTTGTGCAGAAGCCTAATAATCCGTTTTACATGCATGGGCATGTGGGAATGCGTTTTTGATCCGTTTTGGATCCCTTTGGGGATCCGTTTTGGCCCCAGCCCTGGCGAGACTCCAAAACGGATTTGCAAACGGATCTCCAAACTGGCCGACCGTAGGGCCTGATCACAGTCCGCCCCGTGGAAGGCCATTGTCGCTGCCTTTCGCATCTTTATAGCTCTGTTCGCATCCGTGTCACCAACATGTAGTTCGGCCACCATCTCGTCTTGGTCGCCTCCTTGAAACAGCCTTCCAGGAATCCTTGGACTGTATCCAATCACTCGTTGGATCGGAGAGTGGCCGCCTCAAAGGAGGCGGAGGTTCCGCGTCATGCAGGTTATGTCTACCAGCTCCTTCCACTCGACAGAGTTCATGCAGTCGCAAGTCACCATGGCCTTGTAGAGGATGTCCTTGAACACGCCGCCTGCTCGCTCTGTTAATCCTCTTTGAGTCGGTGTCTCCAGGGGTCCAGGAACAATTTCGGAGCCAGCCTGCTCAGCCCGGTTGGGGAATTTGGGTTGGAATTCGCCACCGAGGTCGATCATGAGCTTTCTCTGTCGCCCGAAATGTCGGACCCACTGGCGGTATGCTCGTCGGGTCTCTTCAGCGGTCTCGGCGGCCATCGGATCATCAACTGGAAGTGCGAATGCCAATCGATAATGTTGAGGGTCGGGACCGCTTGGTTCTTGTGGTTCCTCAAGTGGACCGTGTCGACGCTCACTAGGTCGTTGATGAAGAGATCTTCTCGAGGTGGTGATCCTCGACGAATGGGGGCCGGAACTTTTCTAAGCTTCGCAGACCGAACAGCTTAGGTTCTTAGCAATCTCGATGGCCTCCGGGTCGGGATTACTGTGGCGAAGTATCCGTACAAACCGTCCAGGTTCAGGGTGTCCAAGGCCTTCATGGGCACGTCTAACCATTCGTTCCAAGGTCACATTGTTCATTCCCGGAAAGTGGTTCATCCTTTTATCCTTCCGGCCATCCAGGCGCTTGCGGTAGATCACAATGATATCCGTAGGTTGTGGTAGAACTCGTTCGGGTTGATGCAGCTTCTGCCACCGCGTTTCATCCTCCAGGCACTGCCACTTTTCGTTCTCGCCCTTGCATCAGCTCGGCCTCCATGGAAAATTCACGTAGTCCTCGTCCGCCGTAGGTACCGGAATCTTCCCCGCTTAGTGGCTCGACGATGGTCACCATGCCGTCTCGTAGTCGATGAACTCCTGCTTTTTCGCATACCTCCGCTGTGATGCCATAGTCGCCGGGACGATCCCCGTCTGCTCGTCTCCGTCTTCCTGGTGGTAGACCTCCTCGATCAGTTCCGTCTCTGCCTGAGGCCTTTCGAGCTGTTGCCGCTCGACCCACGTGAAGCAGGCTTCGTCGTGCCGACGGTCTTCCTGTAGCACATCCTCGGCCGGCGTCTTTGTCACCTCCGTAGGTTTCAGTTGTCTGGCCTTGGCATAGGAGCTGAACACGGGTTGCGTTGCCTCGTCATAGGACCAGACCATCTTGTTGTCCAAGCGCTTGGCTAGATGCGCCCTGTTCGTGACCAGGGTAGCCGTCGACCTCTGACCTCATGTCCTGGACATCGACCAGGGACCATCTCGCCCTCCATCGCGTTCTTGATCGTGCCCATCATGGACCTGGGTCTTCCAGGTTTCTCCTTGATCGTAGAGCGGCTGCCATTCTCGTTCTTTCCAGCCGCCGCCTTTTGTTGCTATGGCTCCTGAAGCACGAAAGTTGCCCCGATCTTGCGACATACCTCACAGACCTTGACAGAGAACCTCAACAACGCCCGGTATGCTTTCTGTTTGAGGATTAGTCCTTGAGGTCTTGAAGATTTTGCTGCTTGAAGAATTCTAAGGTTTTTCTTGCTGGAGCCAGGTAGCACCCGGCTGTCGCACAATCACCAGTCCCTAAGGTTCAAAATCTCCGCATAAACCTTTCGCTCCTGCTTGCTAACCCACTCGTTCTTTTAGCTCTCGAAGATGCGTCTTGCCATTGATCAGACAATTCTGCAGATCATTCAGACCTGCTCAGCCTTCTTGAGGCTGGCCATCATATGCCTTTGCCCACTAACGGACAACCCTGCTTTCGAGGCTTCGATTTGGCCTCCGACATCTTCTTGGCTTCCATGAACCGCTTGAATTCCTGGTACTCGGCATAGGTCTCGTCCAGCACCGGAACAGCATCTTCCGGTGTGCCCGCCGAGCTGTCGCGCCCCTTGCGGTTTCCCGAGCTCACCGAAGTGGATGGCCTTGGTGTCGGTCCCATCATCGAGCTGCTTGGGAGCTCATCGTGCTCATCCTCGAGCTGCGTTCGGAAGGAAACAGATGGATTGACAGCGGAGTTCCAGCTGCCACAGTGGCTTGGGCTCCGGACGAGTCCGGTTCGTCTGCGCATAGTGCTCCGTCGGCTTCCTCGTCACCATTTTCAAAAAGGCGTGGGTTCACACAGTCGCACGGGTTGTCGGCCACGGAGGGGATAAAGTCGTTGCTCGGCCCCCCCTCCACCGCCCCTTGCCCTTGCCCTCACCCCCGCTGCAAAAAGTGCGCGTCGAAGAGCACAGCAGGTGGGTCACCGACCATTTCCCCGTACTCCCTGTTCACAGGCCAGATCGGTCGCAAAAAGCAGCGCGAGTCAGCAGTCGAAACTACAGACTAGCTCATCGAAATCCTGTAGGCTTCGTTTGGAACACCCGGCAAGCTGTAGTTTGAAGATGTTTGGACTGCCCCGGCAGTCTTCTTCCACTGCTCAGCATCTGCCTTCGCCATCTGACAGTCACAGAGGTTACTATCCTCTACTCCTCTGACACCGGCCACGCTGAAGAATGTGCTAAAGCTGTGGCGTTTCTCGGCAAGGACTCGACTTGACCAAAACATTGCAAGCCCAGACATGCATTGTCCAACAATCTTTGCACTTACCCTGCGATCTGAGGCGTCAGTGCCGTAATGGTGGCTTCGCCAGCAGCGCCGCCTGGCTAAACCGACTGCCGTTCGGTTTAGCTATTGCTGAGTAAGTGAACAGCTGGGCGTGTAAAGTTTCAAGCTGAGCATGACGGACAGGCTCAGAAACGCACGCGTTCTTGTCATGTAAATCGTGCACGCAAATTCTGCTGGGCTGTCATCAACAGGCAGTTCGATGTGCGACCATGGATTCCTTCGATGCGGCCGCACTGGCATCGGAGCCGCTGGTCGTTTTCTGCGTGGCTACGGCGGGCAAAGGCCACATCGCTCGATTACTGCTTGACACTGCTTCCCAGATTGTTCGTCGAATTTTCGGAGCGGGGCAGATGTTGTGTGCAGTTGCGACGTGCCAAGGAATCAGTTGGCCAGCGTACATGTGGCTCTGTTTCCTCTTACATAGCTTGTGGTCTGCTGACGAAGGCTAGTCAGGCTACAGAGACCAAGATGCCTGGTTTGGTGCAGTCCGGGCTGCAACATGCCTTCTGCAGGTGAGTTCTGCGGCAATGGCCGCAACATGTTTGCCAAGCTTCAGGAGCTCTCTGGTAAGCCTGTGTCGGCTTGTTGACATTGAGGTAATGGAGAGGCTGAACGCTGTCTGCTGTGTCCTGGACGGGGCTAGGAACTGGCCAGGTAACGAAAAGGATCATCTTGATTAACCAACATGCAGAGGAATCAAGTAGCCAGCGCAGATCGGCCGAGCGCTCTCTGCGTCTCTAGGCCCAGCGATTTGTTAAGTCCTAGGCAATGGCTTAAGCTCCGCCTGTGCAATGCATGCGCCACCAGACTGGCAGCGCAGGAGCGGAGCGATCTGTCCCTTAGCGCAGTGGACTCAGTGGCCTTGCTTCTTTGCTCCGGTGCATAGTTGCACTGATTGCAACTTGCTGGCGTTTTCTCGGCTGGTTTGTTTGCACAGGGACAGCGCAAGCCTATCGCTGAGGATCTGAAGTACTGCATTTTCGGCCTCGGTGACTCGCACTACTGGGGCAAGGGCACAGAGGCGAATCATCGCAGACCTCACGTGTTTGACATTGTTTCCAATATTCAGATCGGTATGTCTCGCCGCGCGAGGAGTCAAAGTTCAACTTTGCCAAACCGGCGCGTGACTTGGACGATCTTCTCGAGAAGCTCGGCTTTGCGGGTTGGCGGTGGTAGGCTGTGACAGGCTATGACATCGACATACCATGGGGCCTTAAGTCCTTTTTGTTAGGAAGATGGGGGCTCAGCGCATGATGCCCACGGGCTTTGGGGACGACCAGGACTCCCCTTGGGCATCGGTGCTCCAGATGCTTTCGCAAGAGTGAATGCAGGACACTGACCAGTATCACACCGGCTTCGCCGAGTGGAAGGGCCAGCTTTTCTCCCGTCTCGGCGTTGACAAGGCTGGACTGCAACGTCGTGCGCCAAGAGCAACGTGTTGCGGCCGGCTCAGAGGCCGACGCCGCCGGTGGTGGTGATGATGGCCCAGTGAAGACTGACGAGCAGATCAAGGAGAGCCAGCTCTTCTCGGCTGAGCGGGGCAGCATAGAAGTCTCTCCGGCGCTGCTAGGTAGAGACCAAGCAGCTGCGTGGTAGCATGAAGGCCGGAAAACGGGAAGTCACAGGGCTATCTCACACCAGCATATCATATCTGTGTCAGCAACCTTCAATCTGCCAGATGTCAGATGATGTCGTTTTGTTCGGCATTGCATCGGACTGCTGGCAAGTTGGTTCTCAAAGTCGAAGTCAAGCCTGTGAAGGAAAGCTTGGATGATGTCACCACCGGTCAGATCCCCTTCCAGGACAGCTTGATTTTGGCAACCGGCTTCTTCCTCCCATGTCCGCACTATATGCACACTGCGACGTGAGAGTTTACTTGCCGCTTTGAGGACACTAAGCTGATCAAGTCGCATGGCAGCTATCAGCAGGAGACGAGGGTTTCGGCATGCTGACACAGGCCATCTGGGAGGTTTGAAACAATTCTGCATGCCCTTCCTACATGAAGATCTAATTGCTCTAGCATCCGACGTGACGATCTACTGAGGACCCGAGGACCATGAACATTCTCATGTTTGCAGCTTCTCGAGCAGACAGTAAGAGGACGACCGTGACCTTCGCGAAGAGCGGCAGAAGATGGGCGTAGAGAATGTTACTGGGTCGCACAACCGACGTGCACTGAACGCAAAATTTGTCGTCGAGATCGCCATTCTGCTTGCGATGTGGGAGCATAGCGCGACGTGAAGCAACAGTGTTAGACAGCCCGGTGCAGTTGTTGGCACGTGTTGGCACAACGTTGGTACACCAGGCTTTTTCCTTCATGATCCGCGCCATAGCTGCATGCAGGCATACGAATGATTTTGGAAGTAGAGAGTCCTTGGAGGCTTCAATATATCAAGCATGCCAAGGTGTGCGCCTTCCGGGAGGCTTTTGCACAGCGGAGCAGTGGATCGCCATGGATGCGCAAACCTTAAAACCACACGCCTGTCTTTGCCGGTGGTTGTGACTGGAACAAGACGGTGTTGTGGCTGAAGGATCATTGACATGAGCCATAACTCGATGAAGCTAGACCAGCTCGGCAGTCGGGATGGAAATACAGGAGGGCGGTGGCCACTGGTGAACCCGACATGCATGGCTAGGCTGAGTAGGGAATGGCAAGCTCAGGCTCCAAAAGCAGTGGGAGCGGGAACAACCAAAGCCATCAAACCTACAAGGAGATGTTTGTTCGGGTCAGCCCCAATCAGAAAGAACTCAGAGACAGATTTTCAGATGTGTGAGCCTGTCTCCAGAATAGCGGCGAAAACCAGACGCAGGGCAGTCGTTCCAAAAAGTGCACAGGTTGATCAAAGAGCGATCCTTGGTTAGAAGCAGCGACAAAGCTCACGACACAGGTGTTTCTCACGTTTCTTTCATTTGTGGCAAGGTGAACAAGAAGAGCCAGCCAACCAAACAGCACGCAGATGAGTTCAGAACCTGGAGCCTGTCATCCACTTACAGATGCAACTGGTGTGTGTCATGCATGAAGGCTTCCATGCCGCCTGTTACAGGAAGGAGAGCGAAGCATCGACCTCCGGCCGGAAAAGGCTGACTGGCGGTCGACGGCGAAAAAGAATGACCATATTTTCCACCTAGTAAGTCGCTTTTTGCTTTTTGGCGGCAATCCAAAAAGCATATGGCGCATCTTTGGAACCCCAGGTCATTCGTGCTTTTCGCTACAGTACTACTTACCAGGAAATGGCATGACGGGCAGAACGGGAAGGAGCAAGGCGCACATGAGAGCAGGAAGGAAAGGCAGGTAGAAGGGACCAGGGAATGATAGGACGGTCCGGAAGCAGGAAGCCAAGCGTTGAAAGGAAAGCTATGAATTCCCTGCAACTCCTATGAATACTGAAACCTCTGACCGTAAATGGGATCGAACGGCAAGAGGGGAAGATAGTAAGGACAGCGGACGACGACGGAAAAGACGAGGAGCCAGGAAGCACAGGAACGGCAGGAAGAAAAGCTAGGAACACCGGACATTGGGTAATAAGCGTGCAATGATAAGGAGGGAGTAACTCGGAGTTCTTGCCCCCAGCACAGCCGCACGTTTGAGCTTTTCTTTGTTTTTTCTTTCCGATGCTCGCTGAGGACATTTGCCAAAACTTCGCAAATGGCACTTTGAAGATCACCACGCGACAGACTTGGCAGGTGCTGGAGTATGTCTACACCTCCTCTGAAGAATGCAGTCGGAGCCGTTGCAAAGTTTGGGGCTACAGCTGGCTAAGGGGTCATGTAGGGCGGAGGTAGGCTGAGGTTGCATGAGGGAATCCAGCCAGAATCCACAGGGAGGCGAGCCTCATGAGTTCCAATCGTTTCGTGCACTCGCCGGACAGGGAACCCACAAACTCAGTCGTGGAGCCTCTTAGCTTCAATCCCAGCTTCATCTCTGCAGGTGCATGGAGTCTTGAAGCGCAATGCTACTTGGTCATTGCTTTGGGCATATCATGGGTCTCGACACTCTTGATCGTTTGCGAAGTAAACCAAACCGACTGCACATTCAGCGTCGTTTGGTTGGTCACGGGGCTTTGCTAGGTGAAAGCCACGATGCGCGCCATGAACCAGGACTCCGGCTAGAATCATGCTGCTGGCAGCAGTAGAATAGCGTTGTAAGACAGCACTGCCAAGGCACTTGGCCTTGCAAGGATAAATGTGGTGAGAACCTACAACATGGACAGTGTTTCGAAAAGCTTGTTCGCGCTCCGCAGCATGCAGATACCAAAGCATTTGTCAAGTCTATGGACGTGCACCATCGAAGCGGCTGTGCAGGCCTGCATGGACACGTTGGCTGCTTGTGGTGATGTTTGCCGGAACGTGCTCTGCACCTCCCGACCGGATGTATGCGCTTCGTCTGGGATTTCATGTTGAGCTTTGAGATGGCATCTTATGAACTGCCAATCAGGCACCACGTATCGCTCCGCTTTGGTCCTTGATCATGCCTGAAAGTCTCAGGCTCCAAGGAGCTTCATGCAGAGATCCTGCACTATACGTACGAGATCCACGACCACTGCCTGCCTCGCCACTGGTCGTCAAAATTGAAAGCTGGGGTGCAGAGACCAGGTCAGAAGCGGTAAATTTCCGTTTGTCATCGCGACTTCATGTAAGGCAGAAACTACATAGAGCTGTTTTAAAGATCCATACCTTTCCCATTGACGCTTTTCGGGAGCAGCCTTCAAGTTGCAATTTGTTTCCGTCCCGACTGGTTTCATCGTTTCACCTTCAAGAAGTGGTTCAAGACGGCTTCGCCGATGAGGGCACAGACGACAAGACGTTCGCGTAATCTGTCCCGCATTTCGATACGAGAGAACCGCGCATCTGATCCGAGTTCGAATTCCTCCTGAATCCTTCCCTTGGCTGCACCCTGATTTCCCCACGAGCCTTGGTCCCACCTCAGGCTCAGCTCAAGGCGGTCACGGCCGATACATAAATACATGCAGACATATACACAAACATACGTCCGTACATATGCAATTTTTGACTTACCTGCATGCCTAAAGAAACTAAATGCATATCATCCATCCATACGTCCATACATCCACACATCCATGCATCCATACATTTATACATCCATACATCCATACATACAGCCGTCCATACATCCATACATCCATGCCTCCATACATCCATACACCCGTACATTACACGCAAACATAATATGAACACACACATGCATGCATAGATGCATATAGATGCATACATGAGTGCACATGTACATTCATACATACATGCATACCTACATACCTACATAGCTACATATCTACATACCTACATGCGTAGACACCCACATAACTACATGCAAACATTCCTGCATGCCTACAACTTGCAGGCTTACGAAATTCTTTCATTCCTTCCCTTCTTTTCTTCCTTGCTTACTTGGTTGCTCGCTCCCTCAAGGCTGGGATGGAATCACACATACGCTCACCTGTCGCGAAGTTGTGGAAAGCGCAGAAGGAGATGACCCAGCATCACTCCATCAACCTCTGTGAACAGTCCTCCTGCAGAACAGGTGGAGGCCCTGGAAACGGATAAGTGAAGGAGCTCAGTCTGGCGGAGGGAGAAGTGGATCCCGTCAGCCCGTAGCCAGAAAAACACATCAAGGAGCAGATGAAGCCCCTTGGCCACAACGCCAAGGTCGCCATTGCCATGCTTACAGCCTGCCCAGACATGCCAGGCAGGTTCCAGGCCATGAGAACCATGGCTTAGGAGTATATGCTGATCATTCCCTTCTCGCTTCAAATCTAAAACCGCATGCAGGAGTCGTGGCAAGTTTATTTGGGATTCAGGCGGCTGTGCCGGAATTCAATCATGCACTATGCGGGGCACGACATTCCTCTGACCCAAATGCCTCCTGACTTCTTCTTCGACTCGCCAGACAAACACGCGGTCTCGTTTTTGGTATGGACCATCGGCGGGCATAACTCTTCGTGCAAGATCTGTCCGGAGATCAAGACACTGACGAGCTTCTTGATGGGCTATTCATGGCAATCGTCTGGAGATCAAAGGTGGTTCTGTCCTCATCAGAGGGATTAGCCGTCAACTGCTCAGGAGCGCAAGACGCTATCTCAAAAGGAGAGAGAGTAGCCGGAGACGGTCAGTCTTTGGGGTCACCCAGAGACCCCAATATCCCTTAATTAAGGAATATTCCTTAAATCATATTAGGGATCCTACTATAATTTAAGGTATATTCCTTAATCAAGGGATATTGCCCATGCCACCTGCTGGACTGCTTGACGAACAGCGACCTTTTGAGCATCACCTTCATCAGCTAAAGCCTTAGCCCCGATCCCCCATGCGCTTGAACAATGGCACAGCGGTCTCGGCTCTGCTTGGCAACGGAGTACGCGGACCACATGGATGCGGAGTGATGCCATGAAACTGATAATTAGCCATGAAGGAATCCGTGAAAAACACTTGATCTCCAACGATTCCCTTAGGACTTTTGACCGAATTTGATTTCTTCGTGGTCAACGAAAATCAAAATACGGAAAGACGATGCTCGCAATCCCGGATTCTGGCTCGCGAGGCGTTGGCACTGACGTGCTGCTAATACGACAGCCTTTGACAATGCGGTCATACTTGTCATAGATCCCTCAGCCCAGGGATGCTGGTCCTCCGACGGAATTGAGCGGAACTCACGTGTAATAATGCTTCACACGCAACTTGTAGAGCTCAACTTCGTTGTTCAACTTCTCCCTCAGGCGCCGATACTGCGGAGAGGGTGTTGAGACTTCTTGGCCAGGCAATGGAAGCGCAATCCTCTTAGGTTCCAGCAATGAGCTCTCTGGAGCGATTCTTCAGGAAGTGAGGGTTCGTAATCTTGAAGATCCGGACGGCTTCCCTTTTTGGTGAGAAATTAACGCTAGCAGTCGCATTGCAGCATGCTGTTGGCTTGATCGTACCTATGCCGGTCTGTCGCCACGACCTGTCAAGCGGGCCCCTTGAGCTGTTTCTAGATTTGCGCCACGCGGCCAAAAAGACATGCTTGCTTTCTTCGTGCGCTGAAGCAGTGTTCGATTAGTTGGTAGCGGAGCTTTGGTTGGCCGCCGCCACTCGTGATGCCCTCCATACCGGCCATGTTCAACCTTGCGGAGAACGATGATGCCGACGAGGAGGAGAGCGACCTCCCTGACCTGGAGGACAACGAGGGCGGCAGTGCGATCCAAGGGCCTCAAGGTGTAGCCTCCGAGGCGGACCAGGTGTGGAGGTGTGCCGGTTGTGACGGGCACGAGCTCTACCGGGACGGCCTCTGGAGATGGTGCTGTGTACGGTGCGGAAGCCTGGAGTACTACAGGATGGACCAGCCGACTTACCGAGAAGCGGCCCACGGACGAGGCCAGTGGCACTACGTTCCTGTTGGGTTTGCTCCTCCTGGACTACCTCCTGCTTCGCCTTCAGGCGCGCCCCCGCCGAGCAGCCCACCAGGCGCTACTTCAGGAAGTTTGCTGGGCGGCCGCCGCAGACGGCGGCGACGACGAGCTGGAGCCGGACCACCTGGAGGAGACGACGGCGACGACGGCCCTTCGGAGCAGCCTGAGTCTGAGACCCTGACCGTGGACCCCACAGTGTCACCAGGAACCTCGGCGACTTCAAGGCGAGCACGTCGACACGATCCTCTCCTACCTCAAGGTGCGGGAGCCCCTCTGCGCCCAGAACTACCTGAACCACGACGAGCCCATACGCTACCCGATCCTGCGCAAGAACATCCCGCCTATGACCCGGAGCCGGAGAAGGCAGCTTCAGCCTCCCCGGCCAAAAGCAGAACTAAGTCGGAAAGCTCTTGGAACTCCAGAATGGGACCCGAGAAAGGTGTGAAGTTCAGAGGGGGCGCTCCGCCACAGCCGCCCCTGTGGAAATACGAGTCCCACGACCTCCGGGCGTTTGCGAAATGGTCGCGGAAGGTCGAGATTTGGCAGGTGCAGGTGGCCCACTACATGACTTCCAAGGAGGCGGCGCTCCTGCTGTACACCTCCCTCACCGGCGAGGCGGAGGCCGAGATGGAGCACGTGCCGCTCGAGAAGATCAACCACCCCCGACGGCATCAAGTACATTCTCGACTGCCTGCCGTAGCCCATTGAGCACAAGTCTGTCTACCAGAAAAGGAAGTTCCTCGCCGACTACGAGCAGATCTCCCGGTATCCCGGGGAAGGTCTGAGATCCTTCTCGAACCGCTATAGAAGGATCGAGCGAAGCCTCGAGGCCCTGGGCGTGAGCATATGTGGCATGCACGACAGCGAGTCTCGAGGAAACCGACTTTTGGAGCGAGCTCGGCTTTCGGCAGCCGACCAGCGCTTGATCATGGTCGGGGCCAGCTACAACCTGGAGTTTGAGGCCATCACCGAGAGCATGACCATGCAGTACCCCGAGTTCCGTGCTGCCCCGCCTGTGGTCACAAAGGACGGCACGCCGCTGATCAGGACCAAAGGAAAGGGCAACCACAACAACGGCCCGGTCGGGAAAGGAACACCAGCCGGTAAAGGACAGCACCAGCCACAGCGGGTCTACATCACGGAAGAGCACCTCGAGCAGATCCCGGAGAACGAGGAGCAGCCGGCCGAGGCGGACGCCGACGAGGACAACGAGGAGCAGGCCGAGGACGACGCGGCAGGCGATGACGACGGCGACGCCAATGAGGCCGAGGACCTGGCCAAGGTGGCAGAGGTTTTGACCGTTACGGCAAAGAAGCTGGCGGGGCTCAAACTGGGCCGGAAATACACAGGCCAGCCAAGGAAGGACCCGCCACCCTCAAGAAGGAGACCAACTGTGCAGTTTGCGGCGAGCGCGGCCATTGGAAAGGCGACCCGGAGTGCCCGATGGCTGGGCAAGGCGCCGGCACGAGATCTTCTCCGAGTGCGCCGGCCGCGGCTGGAGTAAAGGGGCCAGCCGGCCATGCAACACGGCCCCCGGCCACAGGAGCCCCGAAGGGAGATGGCAAAGGCAAGAAGGCACCTCACCAGACCTTCTTCGTGCGTGACTTCGGCTCCTTCGAGGCCGCCCAGGTCGACGACCAGCCCGAGTACGGCACCGCCTTCTCTGTGAACGTGGTCTTCGAGGTTCGCGACGCCCCGACCGGGACGGACCGCTTCGGCAAGGTGATGATTTTGGACACGGCGTGCCAGAGAACATGTTGTGGACTTGAGTGGGAAGCGCAGCACACCCTCGACCTCGTACCCCACGGGTTGCAGACACACCATGTGGATGTGACTGATGCTTTCCAGTTTGGTAGCGGCCCGCCCTTGGTGGCCAAAGGCCGGTCGTATGTTCCGGCTGGCATCGGCGGTGCGAGCTTGATCTTCGGAGCTGGTGTGCTGGATGCTAAAATTCCCCTCCTTGCCTCCAACAAGTTGCTGGAAAGCTTAGGCATGATCCTCGATATGCCCAGCAGCCAGGTTAGCTTTGTCAGTCTGGGGGTCGCAGTTCCGATGCTGAGAATTGACGGCCACATTGCAGTTCGCATCGATGAGTTTGCTGATTGCCCCGAGTGGCACACCATGCAGTCCAGCATTGATTGGTGCGATCCTCCTCCAGAGCTTGCGGCTCGAGGAGAACTTGTAGACGGGGCTCGGAGCGCCGACCAGCCCTATGCGTGCACAGCCGGCCCGACCGCCTCGCGGCTGGCGCAGCGTGGTGAAGAAGGTCATGGACCTGCGGCGGCACCTCTTCACGAGCATGGGCTGCGCGGTGAACCTCGGCATCCTGGACCCCGAGATCTACCAGGCCGTGCCGCCGATCTTGGACGTGCGCTTTGCAGCTCCACAGGGCACCTGCCAGCACCCCGACTATGTCCGAACGCGTACGGCAAGTTCGCCAGGTGCAAGAGGTGCCACATGAGACTGAGATGGAACGACCACCTGGGGATGTGGGAAGGCCACCCCGACACAAAGTCCGGAACCTCGCTGCTAACCTCGCGACCGCCATTGCCCTCCTCGTCCATTATTGCACCGGCGGGTTCCAACCAGAGCAGCAGCCCGTTCGAGCCTTCAGCCCGGGCGTCCCTGAGTTCGGCTACACCCAAGCGATCGAGCTCGAAGCGCCGCTCCCGAAGGCAGCAGCCGGCAGCCAGCAGCGCATCCGAGATGGAGCTGGACCCGTGGCGGCTGGTAGCCGGGGACGAGTCGGAGAACTACGACTGGACCGAGGAACACTGAAAAGGCTCAAGGGAGGCTGGGCTCGATCAGCCCGGTTCCTGGAGAATGAGCGGGAGATCTATGATGTTCTGCCCGCGACGGTCAGCCGACCACCGCCTGCCATTGATGTGCTGTGCGTGTTCCGCGGCAGCGACTGGCTTCATGGAGGCCTGGCTTCCTACCGAATGACCTCGACGGCGCTGCCCCTACATGTTGCCCGGCGTCTTCGCGACGATCCTGAGGTACTTGGAGAAGCACTACGAGCACTACGACGGCTTCGGCCACACGTCCTCTACGTCTCCTGCCTCGACTTCTTCCCCGGCGACAACAAAGGACCCTACGTGCAGCACTTGATCGAGGAACAAGCCCAGCAAGGCCGGACCTACATCCTGGCCGACTCCTGCGACGCCGCCGCCGTACAGACCACCATCCCGGGCGGCAGCTCCTTCTTGCTCGACCGCAGCCCGGCGACCCAGGAGAACCTGCACGACGGCATCGTGGAGCTGATCCGGGACTATGTCGCGACTAAGGAGCCGATGCGCTTTGGCATCTACCAGGCCCTGGTCACCTACCGGGAGCCAGTGCGAGACCTCACGGCATGGGACACCATCGCCGAGATGATGTCGAGGTCCTTTGGTTCCGAGGGCAGCCGGCCCTTCTACATAGACCCCGGCAGCGAGGTCGGCAAGGAAGTGCAGAACCTACTGAGGATAACGGCGGTGAGGATACAATGCGTCCAGCGGCCCACACAGCGGCGACTACCTCAAGATGTTCCCTACACCGCACGGGCCGCCTTCTTGATCCACTCCGACAATACGCGGGCGGTGGAGGTCGAAAATTTGGCGCTGGTCCAGCACCCCAAACAACGATTCGCGAAACCGGTGCGACACGCTCTCCTGGCCTACGGCAACCTCATCGAGGAGACCGAGACGCCGGCCGAGACGCCGATCACCGACCTCCCCACCGACATCAGCTTCCCGAACCTCAGCCAGCAGGTGCCGCTCGAGGTAAGGAGGGCAATTGCGAAAGCCCACATAAACCTCGGACATGCATCGCCACAGGAGATGCTCAGGCTGGCTGTGCAAACCGGCAACCCGAGCGAGATGTTCCTTCAGACCATCCGGCGGCTCAACTGTGCTACTTGCGCCCGACTTAAAGGACCACAGCCACCACCACCGGCATCAACGACCGTCACTGCCAGCCAGTTCGGCGACCGAGTTGAGATCGATATCTTCTACCTCCGCGACCTCACCGGCAAGAGCTGCATGGTCTTGGGAGCCGTCGACGTTGCGACGCGGTTCCACCAAGCCGCCGTCCTGGAAACCAGGAACCCTGAGGAGGCCTACCGCGCCCTCGAGATGATGTGGCTGCGACCGTTCGGCCTCATGGTTCAGCTTGGCGCCGACCCGGACGGGACCTTTCAGGGCACCTTCGAGGAGCGATTGCGCTCCCACGGCGTCCTCATCGACTTCTGCCCGGCCGACGCCCACTATAAGATTGCCCATGTGGAGCGCCAGAACGCCTTCCTCAGGACGATCCTCGAGAAGCTCGTGGACACCTTTGCCGCGACCAACGTGAAAGACATTGAGCTCTTGATCGCGCCGGCCCTTCATGCAGCCAACTCCCTTATCCTGACACGAGGGAGGTCAGCTTATCAAGCGGTATTCGGCAGTGCCCCTCGGCTTCCGGGCGGCCTGTTCTCAGATTCCAACGCCTTGGCCACCACGCCGACGACCGATGCAGCCGCAACCGCCGAGATCGTCCGGGCTGAGGCAATCAAGACGATCGCCGACCTCAACGTGAAACAGTCCCTTCGGCGAGCACTTCTGCGAAAGACCCGGCACGTTACGGCGCCGGACCTTCAGCCAGGGCAGCCCTGCTCCTTTTGGAGATGGCGAAAGAAGGGGGTCAAGAAAAGAGGAGGATGGCTCTCTGCAAAGTTCCTCTCCTGGGACCCTTCGGCACCTGGGAAGTTGGCCTGGGTGAGGTCGGGCACAGCGACCGCCTTGGTTGCCATTGAGCAACTGCGTGCCGCCACCGGGTACGAAGCATGGATCCCTGACGAGGCCGAGGTGAAAGCTTTAAAGGATGCGGCCCGGACCTTGGACGACAGCTTGTGGTCAGATGAAACCGGACCGCCACCACCAAAGCGATCACTGGAGCAGGACGACGTGGAGATGGACCCAGAGCTCGGGTACGACATCTCATTGCCCGAGGTAGCGGCGGCAGTTGCTTCTTCTTCTTCTTTGGCCGCTCCTCCTCCAGCCGCTTCGGCCGGCTCGGGTGCCCAGCCGGTGGTGAACACACAAGTCCAGAGCACACTGGTGTACCAGCCACAGGTTCAGAACACTGTCGTGCACAACACGGCACGGCTGGGGGACCCCGCGCAAGGAAGCCGGCGGGGAATGTCTACACCGAGGACTCCGAGAGCAAGATCCGCACCGAGAACACCGAGGGCAATTAGGAGCAGATCGCCGAAACCTTCGGCATTGGCAGCTCAGCCTGCGAACAGGTCGGAACCTCAAGAACTACAACCGCTTCCAAGCGAACTTCCGGAACCTCCTGTGCAGCTGCCCAGCCTAGATGGCAACCTGGAACATCAAGAACTACAACCGCTTCCGAGCGAACTTCTGGAACCTCCTGTGCCGGTCCCACAGACACCATTGGAGGTGGGTCTAGAGTCAGCAGCTTACTCTTCGGCTCCCTTTGAAGACTCCAACAGCGACCAGCACATGGAAGAGCCAGAGACACCCGTGATGCCAATGACGGTCACAGTTGAAAGGCCCACGGGACAACAGCAACCAGGACAGGTTCAAGCAGCCAGTGCCTCGGCAGCTTCCTCTCCGAGGCCTTCTACGACGCCTGTGACGAGCGAGGCGCCCAGCGGCGGACCTGATCCACTACCACCGGCCAAGCGCCCCTTCGAGACCCTCTCCACTCTCTTCTTTGAAGACGGCTACCTTCAGCACTGCGAGCCCGGCGACACTTTGGAGCAAAGCTTTGGACCGCAAACCGACCTCTACTACCAGACCTACTTAGCTTCAAACCACCGCAAGGACGACTTGAAAGGCAGCCCGAACAAGCCTGCCAACGAGTCGGACTCCTCCGACACCGACCGGAACGACGAGGCCCGGCCTAACGATCCGGCCAAGGACCTCACTCGAGCCGAGGCCAAAGCACTCGACCGAGAAATCCCATGGAGGAAGATCCTCGAGATGGACAAGAAGACGGTGGAAGCCTTCAAAGCGGCCACGGAAAAAGAGGCCAAAAGCTGGCAGGACTGGGGCTCGGTCAAACCTTTGAGCCACGAGCAGGCTCGCAAGGTGCTTCAGGATAAGATCCTCGCGCGGAGGGTGCTCAGAACTCGGAGCTGTTTCCGAGACAAGAGCCGGGGGATCGGAGAGTTGATCCCGAAATGCAGGGTAGTGGCGTTGGGCCACAAGGACCCAGACATATATCGAATAAACCGTGAGTGTGCGACGCCCAACCGGACCTCGGAGCACGTCCTCTTCTGCGTCCTCACTTCGGGAAGCAACCGAGAGTTTGCCCAGAGCGGCAAAGAGTGGTTTGGTTGGACAGGCGACGCCTCAACGGCCTTCCTTCAGGGCGACATCCAGAACGACGAGCGGGAACAGCCGCTCTACCTCCTTCCGCCCAACGACGGCATCACCTCCTTGACCAGCTGCTGGAAGGCACCACTGTACTTGGTGTGTACCAACATCTACGGCTTGAGCAACGCTCCCCGACTCTGGTCTTTGACGGTGATTGCCAGACTGGTTTCGCTGGGATACCGACAACACTCCTTCGACAAGATGGTCTTCATGAAGTTCGGCCCCGACGGTCACCTCATTTCCCTGATTATCGTCTACGTGGACGACTTCTTGGGAACCTACCGCGAGGACTACGACGTCACCGAGGTGCACAAGGCGTTCAAGTGGGGAGCCCTCCACGACTTTAAACTCAACGAGGCCCTCACCTTCAAGGGAAAGCAACTGACGCTCAAAGAGAACGCCGCAGGAAGGATTTACCTCCACGTGTGCCAGCGGGACTTCCTCGACAGCATGAGTGCTGGCCGTGTTCCGAAGGGTGCCGACCTCACATCCTTCCTCACTGCCGACCAGAAGGCCGAGTTCAGGAGCGTGGCAGGGTCACTGCAGTGGCTTTCCGGCCAGACCCGCCCCGAGCTTGCAGCAGTCAATAGCCTTAGCAACCACGGGGCAGAGACCACGGTGGGCGACCTTAAGACGCTCTTCGAGGCCCTGGACTTCGCCAAGGAGACGCGCGACGACGGCTTCATCATTGCCGACGTGCCGCTGGACCGATCCACGGCTATCCTCGTGTACACCGACGCCAGTTGGGCAAACGCCGAGAAGTGCAGGTCCCAGTGCGGGGTACTGGTGGTGCTCTGCGCACCGACGGTCCTGGAGAAGACAACTCCAGCTATGATCGTCGACTGGAGATCCAGCCGGTCCACAAGGGTGTGCCGCTCAACTTTGGCGGCAGAGGCTTCGGCAGCCGATGAGGGCTGCGACCGGGCCGTCTACGTCTCCCTCTTCCTGGGCGAGCTCCTCTACAACGTGCCGGCGCACAAGGTGGGCCAACGTTTTCTTCAGCTGTCTGCGACTGACGCAAAGAGCCTTTACGACTGCGTAGTTTCGGACAGCCCCAACCTGAGCGACAAGCGCTCACTCGTGAATGTCAGAGCAATCCAAGAGGTTGTCTCCGGCAACCGTTTTCATTGGATCCCTACGGATCTGATGTGGGCCGACGGCTTGACAAAGATAAGCCACGACTTGCAAGCCTCTTTTCACTTATGGCTGCAAGATCCCACGGCGACCCTCAAGAAGTAAGGGATAGGCACTTTCAAGCCAAAAGAAAACTTTACCAGTGAGAAATTAACGCTAGCAGTCGCATTGCAGCATGCTGTTGGCTTGATCGTACCTATGCCGGTCTGTCGCCACGACCTGTCAAGCGGGCCCCTTGAGCTGTTTCTAGATTTGCGCCACGCGGCCAAAAAGACATGCTTGCTTTCTTCGTGCGCTGAAGCAGTGTTCGATTAGATTTGGATCGAATCCCATTTTTTTCACTTTTACACTGGTGCACCATCTCCCGGCGGAAAGCTTCCAGCTACTGCTCCTTTCTTCTTTGAGCTGTCTTCAGGCTTCCCTGCATTCATCACTTCATCCGGTGATCCCCACCCCCCACCCCCCACCCCCCACCCCACCCACCACCCCCCACCCACACCCCACCCACACCCGACCCGCCACCGCACCACCCCACCACCTCAGCACATTCAGCCCACGCGCGCACGCACTCCGTTTTGTGTCCTTTGCAGTGGTTGTCTGGTGTGGTGGCATATCGTGTACCGGATGATCAGGTGTTTTCCTTGTCGATTCCACGGTGCCTCATGACATGGTAGCGTGTTGCTCGTTGCAAGCAGTCTGCCAGATAAATTGTGACGATGTCTTTCCGTGTAAAGGCTGGCAACAGACTTCAACGTCCTGTTCAGTGTCAGAGGTGTTGTGTGCATTTCAGATGCCTTTCTTTTCGGGGTCTCTCTGTGAATTTTCCAATCGTGTAAGTTCTTGACTGCATTTGTCATTATGTTTATGCATTTGTTGTATCGTCTGCTGTTGTAGGTTTTTGCGTATCGTTATGCACTTTTTTCTTTGTTTGTGTGCAGTTGCTTTTTTGTTTTTTGGTGTGCGTTTTCGCTTGTGCGTGTTTTGTTCTATGTTTTCTTTTGTGTGCCGTTACACTCTTTGTGCGGTTCCTTATGCGTTTTTGTTTGCGCTTCTACTTGACATTGCCTGATCTGCATTTCTCCCACCAAACCAAGAGGAGATGGCATGCGGACGACATAGTGAACGCTAAGACATCCTTGACCCTTCAGGTCTACGAAGAATCTTTGCCAATTTGCACTTGCATCGCATGGGCTCCTTTATTTAGATCTGCCCACTGACGGCAAGACGACGACGAACTGCCTCGAGATGCCTCATGTGTGACCTCGCTTTAGCATGTTCTGGCTGCTTCAGGGCAGGGTCTTCAGGTAGCAGTCTTCAGCCCGTGTGAAAGTTTGTACCGGCTGCGCCCAAAATGAAGCCACGTGCCTCGCCCAGGGTCCGGTGCCTACCACGAGATCTTCCTCATGCAAGGTCGGCAGAGAGGTTGGGACAACCCCGGTGCTTCTCTGACCTGACAAGTCCTGAGGCGCTGAGATGGCAGAGAAGATTCAGATCATGGGCTCGACGCCTGTCGAGGAGGAGACCGGCAGAGATCTTCCTGTTTTGCGCTGGGCCTGGGCCTCGCATGGCCTCGCATGGCCTCGCAGCCTGGCAGGAGCCCCTCTATGGGCTCACGTACCTGCCGCGAAAATTCAAGGCCCTGACACGCTCGGACTCTGATTTTGAGAGCAGCTATTCGGACGTGCTACGACAAACCCTCATCGTCTGTGCGAATCAAGATGCGGCAGACCTTGGGCTACATCAGCTAATGTGGTTCCCCCACCAGGTAGCTGTGGCAATCCCTCCGAGCAACGACGTGGACCTCTTCGCGCACTGTGCAGGCGGAAGTGCAGCGCTTGTTCCAGACTCGTGCTCGCAAATGTGTTGCAGATCCTGATTGAAGTGATTGGAACAGTGTAAGACAGTTCAGTTTAGGATCCCATCTCAACTCCAGGCCAATGTTGCTCAGTGCCAGAACGTAACTACATACACCGGCGCAGCGTGGGAAGCAACAGTGTGATGCAAAAACGAACATCGAACTTGACAAGTCATTTACACATACCGGATTCTCTGATGTTTATTACCCGAAAATTGCCAACACTCCTTTGAGCAGGATGATCGATGTTTGAGAGGAAACCCGTCCTCAAATTGACAAGCTGGTCGAGTCTTGTAAGACGGCAGGAGTGATATCAATCGACAATGTTGATTTCTGCAAAATGGGCTGTTGTCAGGCTTCATTGCCATCATCCAGAACGGCAAGTTGCTAGGCAAAGCCGGGTCACGCCTTTGATGAGAACCGACCTGCCCTCCTGGCTTTGGGAGGCTTCAATGTGGCTGTTGGTGGTGGCCTTGGCTTCACCCATAACAACCAGCCACTTGGAGAAGATGGGCCATGCAGTTTGAGAGCAGTTGTCGTTTTTTGGTTGGGCACCCAGGAAGACTCATCCTCGACTTGCGGACGTGATCGGCACCTGGCCAGCACGAGAGCTCTAATTGCATGAGCTACTCTTTTTACACTCGCTTCTCCTTTGCCCTGAGGCTTCTGCAAACCCGGCGATGCGTGCCATGATTGCACGATTACAAAGAAAGTAAGGGGTTTGCATGCCAGCATTGTGCGACAGGCTTCCCTGAACAATTGGTTCATATGAGAAGAGACCCGCAGTTCAACAAGTAAACAAGTCAAGTCAGAAGATGTAAGAACCGTAAGAAGACAACTGCAGACAGAGAGGTCGCTGCAAACTGCCTTGCAAGGAAGTATGTATGCGAGTGCATCCTCACCGTCGCTCGTGACTTCGGTGATCGCCCCTCTGCAAAGATGGAGGCGGAGTTTAAGCAACAGTCCTGGTTTCATCTTGGAGCGCGTTGGAGAGGCAGGTTCTGCTCTAGAGGAGATTGTGGTGGTGGCAAACCGTGCTTCCAAGGTACAGGGCGAAAGCATGCACGGGTGAAGTACACCGTCGAAGACTATGGCCCAGAGTGGTTCAAGGAGCCAGAATCTTGCACTGGGGATCTTTTCGCTGCAGGCTACATCAGCCACAGCTGGAAAAGACCGTCCGACAGCCCTTTTGAGGAGCAGGTGGAGGATCGTCTGGGATTCAAGCTTGAGCCTGTCAAGTGCTCAGCACGCTCCTTCAAGGGTTAGGGTCGCCAAGCGTGTCTGACTGTTCAAGGCCAAGCCTTACAAGTTGGAGCACCGTGGCGACCTGCACGGCATGGGCCTGAGATAGGGGTCTGGACATTCTGAACCGGGATTTTGGGTGGCAGATGGGCGTCGCGATTAGGGCTTTTCGAACTCGAATGGAAGCTTGAACTCATCGGATGGAGAGCGAGAGTGAGAAGTTTGAATTTTTGAAAGGTGTGGTGAATGCAATCTTTGAAGCCCGAAAAATTGAACATTTAGCAGCCGCGAGTTGAGAGTTTCAGCGGGGATTCAGCGTGAAACTTTGAAGCTGCAGCGACGCGACGTGCGACGAACGGGAGGTGGATGACAAACGTGGGTCCATGGGCAACTCCCAGGCTCCAGTTTGAAAGTTGGAGTGGCTGGTGCTTAAAAGTTTGAAGCCGGAGGTTGAAGGTTTGAGCGCTTGAGAGTTGGACAGTTTGACAGTTCGAACGGTTCCAAGGTTGACGATTTCAATAGTGGAGTTCGTCAAAGATCGACGGGTTGAAAATTCGAGCACTCCAAAACTTCAGAGTTTGAACGGAGCACGAAATCTGTGAAAGCTTGATTTTTTTAATAAGAAAATCAAACTTCATTGCAAGCATGCACTCTGAGGTCTTGCGTAGGAATTTGGTGTTTTAGGGCCTATCAGCATTCGGGTTCAAAGCTAGCGGAGCCAGAATAACTGCAACTCTCAGCAACATCTTGCTTGAAAGGTAAAATGTACCTTGCTTAATTCCAACAAGGGGGTAAATTCTAGGTCTGATGCAGCTGCCATCGCCTGATGAGGGGGAGAGTGTAAGATATGGGATCAACCGCCATCGCGAAGTAACGGGGCAGATATACGATAGGCAAAAGAAGTTTGGACCAGCCGCAATCGCCTACTGAGGAGGCGGGTTCGCGATGGTTCGAGATATGAGACCAAGTGCCATGGCCTGGGGGTGGGGCGGGGCGGCGCGGGCGGGTTGGATCAGGTGTGGCGTTTGGTTTTTGAAATCTTTCATACCTGCGAAAGTTCAAGTTTCGAACTCTCAAACATTCAATCTCGGAACTCGGCCGAACTCGATGCGGTTCAAACCGTCAATCTCCTCAAACTTGCAAAACCCTCGAACTCTCAAACTCTCGAACTTTCATGCGGTACAAACTTTCAGACTTTCACTCATTTGAACTCCCAGCCTCTCAAACCTGTAAACTTGTGTGAAATGCCCGACCTCAGCCCAGAGCTCTGAAACGAATTGGGAGCCAACTTTTCAATCCTGAAGTTCGTCGAACTGTCGATTTTCTACATTTGGAAACTTTCGACCCTTTCAAGCCTTCGATCTTTCGAGAACTAAAATGTGATGCAACTTTCAGAGCCTGTCGAACTCAGCGGTGCCAGCTCGAAAGCTTAAAACTTTGAGAGTTGAAAGTTTGAGTTTGAGCAGATCGAAGTTCGACGCCCGCTCGCTTGTGCGTTCCAAGGTCAAACCTTCAAGCTTTCATGAGCTGAAGCTTTAAACCATTGAATGTTCAAACTCTCGAACCTTCGAGTCCGAACAGGCTCGCTGGGGACATCATTCGTGCATATATAACAAAGCAACTTCAAAATCAGACTTAGGCGGTGTGCTGGCTTGACTTGACATGCTGGGACTGGACCACACAGTATCAAAAGATCTTCGATCTTCGACCCACAAGACTCAGCGAATCTTAGACGCCATCAGCCACATACCGGGCAGAGGAGAGCAGGTGTTCGACAGGAGGACGAGCGATGTCTCTGTGTCGTTAGAGTGGGGTGTACCGGAGCAGGCTGTGAGGGTTTGGACCCAGGCTGGGTGAAGGCCAGCGATGGCACCTGGAGCTGCGGCCTTCTTGTCCCCATCGGCCGAGTCAAGGAACAGCTTGAAGAGCTCAGTGGAAACATATCTCATCAGACGGTCACAAGCTTCAGCAATTCCTGCCGGGGTGAGAGATCCGCATGTTCGAGTTTTCAAGCTGCTCAAGAGGTAGCCGACAGTCCGGTTTCGTTCCGAAGTGTCTGCAAACGTGTTCATGCATTCGGGTGCATGCTCTCCATGACTTCTGACACACTGGAGCAAACTGGAGCAGGAACCCGCAGTTTCGTGCCCGTACCTGCCAGGAGAGCACGCGCGTGTGCATCCGCAAGATCGCCGAAGAGCTGAAGGGCAAGGAGAAGGCACAAGCTCGGAGCTAAAGGCACTCAGGTCATGCTTGGCCGACCTACTCTTGTGTTGCTTCGTGAGATTGTCGGCTCTGCTGATGTTTGGCAGACGTGGCTGTGATGAAGTCATAACCATCGTTTTTTCGGCTTTCTGGATGGGACTGCTCAGGATCTTGGCAACATTTGGCAACCCGAATTCTCCAAACCTTGCTTGTCCGGACAAGTCATCGTGCTGGTTACCCAGACAGATGCCACAGAGACATGAAAAGCCTCGCTTCTGCAGGGTGGTTTCCGCATGACGTGCAACCAGTCCCTGGTTCTGGAGAACATCTCCGAGGCGAGTACGCTCCCGAAAGATCAAGAAGCAAACACAGCAACGTCTTCATTTCGAGGCCAAGAGACCGGTCATCCAGAAGCTTCTGGATGAGTACCAAGTGATGCACAGCAAGGACGGTTGCAATCGTCGGGCGACAGGTGCATGATTAAAAGATTGCGTGTCTTTTCCTCCCAGTGAGATAAGGCGATGGTTGGAGCTAGTGCACACTTACACCGACTTACACCCTTACACCGCCGAGCATGAAGGAGACAACAGTCAGTGGTCTTCGCCGCAACATGGTTGCGTGCTCCAAGCTCAGTCAGACGTCGCCTCGCTGTCTGAGACTTCTGTGCAACATGACTCAAAATATGGCAGACAGGCTTCGCTGCGTGAAACTAGAGGGTCGAACCGGCATGAGCCGGTCTTGAAATCCCGTCCCAAACTGAACAGCAACGCTCCATCCTGTCTCCTCAAGCGCTATCCCATTCACTTCAGGCGTCGCCCTGCCAACGTGTCCACTGGCCTTCGCCGAGGCCCCGTTCCCGAAGGTTTGGCGCCTTCGCAACTAGTTCGCTTCCCCCAAACTCCTCAGTGATTGTATGCAGGTTCTGCCAACCCGAAATGCACTTCCGTCAAAAAGAAGAGGGAGAAAAGAAGGTAGAGAGAGGGAGAGAGCAAGTGCATTGTTTCAAGCAGGCCGGGCTCGGACTTTGGGCGTAGCGCATTCGCGCAGGGGTATGGGTTTCGTGCCCTGCACACCACACGCTTCGCAAGCAAAGTAAAGCATAGCAAAGCAAAAACAAAAGCAACAGCAAAGCAAGCAAGCAAGTGCCTGTTTGCATCCTAGCGACCAGTGTCAGCGACTTGACTAGACACAGACCAGTCGGCGGGGTGTGCGTGCGCAGGAGGGGTGTGTTGTTATAGCGCTGTGGCAGCTTTGCGCACCGCCCCAGATCTGAAGGATATGTTGCAGATGGCGAGGGCTCTGACCAAGGAAAATGGGAAACAAGCAAACACTGGCCAGAGCCGACTCCTGTCCATGGAAACAATTTGTGTATGTAGGTTATCAGTCCCGACATCGAAGCATTCGAGTGGATGCTGGAAGATGCTGAGATTCACTTCGAGTTGGCTCCTGGTGTATTTGCTTTACTCACTGCGGCCAACAGCATCTGATGATTCTGAATTGCAGAACTTCGAGTAGCCACCACAAAGCCGACATTTCCTCAAGAGCCAGCAACGACTCAATGAATCGAGCTCTGTGCAACCTGGACAGCTGCAGCGACTTGGTAAGCTTGCGGCGAGTAGCCGCAAGAATCGGCTACAACCATAGTTTTCAAAAGTCTGTAGTACTTGTAGTATAGTGCACATGCCCCTGAGCAATACCAATGCAGCTGTGTATCGACAAGATGGAAAGCGTGGCACGGCAACACATTGAGATTAAATCACATCGCAGCTTCGGCCACTCGAACCGGCCAAGATATTGAAACCACCAACTCGCGAATGCCTTCAGTAAGTCGAGAGCAGTGGGTGAATTGGCAGCCACCATGTGACGGGGCTTTACGTCTTTCAGGGTCTGGAAGACAGCGCTTGCGAATAGCCTCATGCTGCGGGTTCGTCGTCGGGTTGACTGCAAGTGCGTCGCGTCAATACACGACAGGATCCCTACAGCTGTAGCAGACCCGTTCCGCGGCTGAGCCGGGAACAGCAGTGGAGTCGAGAACAGGAACCCGGCCGGAGTCGGAACAGACCTGCAAGCACCATCCGCCATCCGCCGTAACCGCCCTCCGCCCTCCGCTTGTAGAATGTGATTGACTTCTACATGTTCTGAAACCTAAATGCCCTAAATGGCCCTAAACAATCTCTTAAACTACTTGCCCATGTTCTGTTCCAGAATCACATCCTTGAAACATCACTGAACTATATAACGGACAAGAACTTGAAGAATCAGGACTCCAAGAACGCTGGCTGTTTATAACCTACCATCATTATTGATGCTATTGGCGACGGATGTGTTGGAATTCTGATGGAGCAGTCAACACTAACAATGTAGTTAGTTGCACATGTGATAATGTAAAAAAGACCATGTGGCTTCAGGATGAGTGTTGGATCGGAGAGTGCAGTGGTCAAAGACATGTTAAGTTTAAGTCGAATCATACTCTGCCCCGACAGGGCATTCCTTTGTTGCCGACACGGCACGTGCACATTCCCAAAGCAGTCCAGAACGTTCTTGACGCAAGTTTGCAAGTCAACTGTCACCCTGAAGCTGCACGGCAACTTCAGGGGACGGCCCCCTCAAAGGGTTTCTTTGCCGCCTCTCCCATGCCAGGCAGAACGGTACCTGCCAACCCTGGTGGAGCGCCTGGAGGCTGTAGCCGACAAGGTTGGTCTTGGCCAGGCAGGGACCATTGACAGCAGAGAGCGGCGAGCTGCGCTGTAAAGTCGACTGAGAGGAAGACATCGTCATCCGGATGACTGGCTGCCCAAACTCCTGCGGCAGGCCAAGCGGGGTTTGCATCCGTTAAGTGTTAAGTGGAGTCCAATGTGTCTCCTGGTCCAGGCCTTCGATGGCAGAGATTGGCTTCATTGGAAAGGCCTCATGGAATGTAAGGTTTCCGTCTTTACTGTGTCCTTGCTTTACAACCAGCCAGCCAGCAGCAAATTCGTTCCATCCTGCATTCTGCTCATGCACCCTCCTGGCCACCCTGCGCGCCGCGCGCTTCCCTTGGTCTGCTTTGAGGCACCTGGCACCTACAACATGTACCTAGGCCAGGCTGCATTGGTTGAACTTGCACGGAAGCTTACATTCTTTGCGCACCTTGTTGCGCTTGCGGCTTTCCATTGCAGCTGACCCTTTTTTTCGAAGATGCCTTCAAGCCAGAATGTGAAAGTATCCCTGTTGTCAGAAGCTGGTGTGGGGGGCGTTTGCTTTTTGCGGCCGAAACCAGGAGTGAGCGATGCCCCAGTCGATCCTTCGGCTCATGCTCACAGCTCAGAGAGGACAGATGCGATTTGGAAATTCGCGAGGTGCGGATTTCGTGGGCCAGCGCTTGAACACACTCTTTGCGGAGTCCGTCAATGAGGCCACAAATTCTCACGAGACAGAGGGCATGAGGCATCATGAGGCGTTTTGCCAATGCCTGGCAGCTTCAAGGTGAGTAGTTCTTCGTGGTTCATGTTTAGTCTTGCAGAAGCCGAGACTTTGAATTCAGGACCAGATTATCCAGATCTTGACACCAATTTTCGGCCGCTTCGCACAGGCAAGCCATGGATTCCAGAGCTTTGCTGGGGTTTCCTTGAATGCTCTTTTTGCAGTACCATCTGTTTTAGACATTCGCGGAGAGCTGCTAAGAACCTCCCACTTGCATGACAATGGTCATGTCGTGAGTAGTGCGCAAAGGCCTTGTGGTGTCCCCTCAATTCCATTCCGCGCTGACCTAGCTTGAGCACGATCTCCTCATTCCACATCTGCTCTTGTCGCGAACTGTTGAAAGCTTTCTGCAAATTGAGTGAAAGGCTCGAAAACGTGTGTTGAGGAGCGGGAGAAATGCGAAAAGTTTGGAGACTTCCTGATCCGCAAGCTGATCGTCAAGCCGCCTCTCAGATGCCGAAGTTTACGTCGCCATACTGCAACGGTAAGAAGACAGGGCACAGCTCAGAAGCATCATAGGTGCACTTAGTTGAAGAGACGGGTGCGAGTTTCGGACGGCTCGAATGTGTACGCAATCTGAGATCTGGCATTCGGTCCCCAGGATGAACAACGGCCGTGACTGGTGGACGACCCCGGAGGTCTGAAGGAGAACATGGCATCGAGGTGAAACTTTACAGCATGCATTGTGAAGTTCCTCTGGCTGTCCAGAGACGCAGGCATGCTGAGCTGCAAATTGTACAGCAAGGATCCCAACACAATTTTGACGTCTTGTCTGTCCGTCAGAGGTGGAGAGTATGACGCTCTCCCTAATCCTGCTTTCATCGTGTCGGCATCTTGCAAATGCTTTGCCAATGCGGAGGTTAGACGAGATCTCCGAACAAATGCAGCCTAAGACTATCTCGTCTTGCTTTCAGGCTGTCTTCAGCCTATTCCTCAGCACAGGCATGGCGGCTGTGTAGTTCTCCAGTACATGCAGAACTTCCACATGCCCTCGCAATACGCATAGGCCACGGGCCAGCCGAAACCGTGCGCCGCAAGCACAAGCCCTAGAGAGCCTAGAGCCACTTCCCTTTTTGGTGAGTGCAGCTGCAGCCAGTGCACAGTCAGTGCTTACAGAAGCGGACATAAAGCTGAGCGAAACAGGCGACAGTCCGGCCGCGGCGCCTTGGATACCTAATGATACCTAAGCAGGAGGGCACCGAGTTTTTGAGGTACTGTATTGATAGGCTGAACCTGCAAGTTCGCTCGGCATAGCGTGATGTTGGCGACGTGTCGTTCGAGCGACTGAGCCACCATCGATTTTCCCATGCAGACCTCATGCGGTGATGCACCACGAAGGGGGCCGAGGCAGAAAGCGACTTCCCCCGCACGCATCGACTCCCTCTACACTAAACTTGAAGGTCGACAAGCAAGCTTTCATGAGCTTTCCTGTTTGCACTGCATCATGCCACGTAGCTTTAGCGCTCGAGAATATTTTCAACATGTGACACGACACACTGGGCGCCAAGAAGTCTCGTCTAGGATGTTGTGACTACATTCAGAACAGTCCAGTCTGACCTCACTGTGGCATGGGTTCTTTTCTCGGCAACAGCCGGACTTCCAGCAGTGTCTAGGTGCAAGGGAATTGCGTAAACGTTGCAAAGAGCGGTGTCAATTCTTGTATTGCTTGGTCCGTTCAGGGATCGGGTCGTCGCTCACCGTGCGGTTGGTGGCACATGTCGACTTCCTGGAGACCGCCGTTCTGGCAGGCAATGCCCGTTCAACTGCTTACAAGCTCAATAGCTAGACTGGCTTGTCCATCCCAGCCCAGCGGCCCAGCACGCAAGCACGCAAGATTGGACAGTAGCGCCCAGCTGCAGGCGCCCCTGTTGTGAGCCCTTGCGTCATGCTGGAATGGCCAACGGTGCCAACGACCCGAAGTCTGCCGAAGAGGTTGGAGGGAGCTTGTTATCGGTAGAAGGACATTCGGCGCTTCATGAACTCTGTGAAGTACGACAGCTAGTCAGCCTCTCTGGTCACGGATTATGCTTCATTGTCATTGCCTTTCAGCGAATGATATTTGCAATTATTCGTGTCAGGAAGGTGCCAGCGAGGCAGCTAATACTGTCTTATGTAGTAAGAGACGGACTTCAACCGAGGCGCTTCGAGCTTCTCGACTTGCCTGCACCAGAGAGCCCGAACGCACGGCCATACATTGCGGCGTTGTCAGGCCTTGTCCCGCTCTTTTTTCGGATTGGCAAAGGTGGTGCCACGGCATCAATTGTCAGTCTCCCACAGCCCCGGTACGCTTTCTCACCAATGAGTTCTCGGGAACAGCAAACCCAGCCCGAGACTGCAACATCAAAAGCATGCTTTGCTGAATGTGTACGTGTACATGTAATGCTTACATGCATATGTATATGCATTGTGTCAACCATAGTTTTGCACATATGTCAGTCATATGTTTTCATAGGTACGCATACTTATATATATATATATATATAACGTGTATGTTCCATGTCTGTGCGTGTAGGGCTCGACCATGATGAGAAGGATGATGCTGTAGATTTCGTTTTCAGCTTACTTCCACTCGTGGCTGCGCTGCAGCTTCAAAAGATGGGGTCACCAGCTGCCCACCCAAGCAGGTGCCGGAGTCTACGGCCCTGCTGGGCGATTAGATTCGCTGCGCCCGGAAGATGTATGCATGTGTGTATGCAGGGATGGTTGGATGGATGGATGGACGGACGGATTGATGGATGGATGGATGGATGGATGCATGGATGGGTGTATGGATGTCTGTAGGTATGTCTGCATGAATGCATGCCTGTAGTATGTGTATGTCTGTATGTCTGTACGCACGTATGCGTTGATGTCAATGTACGATGATATGTCTTCGTGTGGGTGTGGTCGTGTGCGTCAGTGTTTGTGGGTCATCACAGGCCGAAACGGTTGCCGAAACGGATTTATGCAACTCGTCCGCGCATGGATGGGCGTTTGCATTAACGTTTGCAGGCGAACTAACCATGGGCCTCGAGTCGCCTAGCCCCTTGTCTCGGAGATGGACACTTGGAGCGCGTAACTCTGGTCAGCATCTGGGCAGGCAATTAGAAGCGACGAGAGACCTGTAGTGTTCAGACGGCATGATAAGTGAAGTGAAGGGCCAACTTGGTGCACTGATACATGACGCGGTACAGTACGCGGTACACAGGCAAATCAAATCACCGCAGCCGCACCCCTCGGAAGATTTTAGAAGTATGGCGCAACATAGTCCTTTCCAATTCAGGAGCAGGAACCCAAAGTTGGACTTGTGCGCACCTGTATGTATTTGGAGGAGCTTCAGTTGCTCCTAAATTTGGGAGTTTCGCTACTGTCGTTTTGGTGACGTTCGGATTCGAGGTGTTTAGCAAATTTGCAGATGGGCAAGTTGCAAGACACCATTTATTTCAGCAGGCCGTAACACCGGGCAGTCGCCAGGCTTTCGCCCTCGAAATCTCTGGCGCGAGCAGTGTTAGATCCAATTGCGAGTTCTCCTCAGAACAGTGGCTTGGCTCCCCACCGAGCTGGTCTGGCACAGTTTTTCGAGGCTTCAATGTGTTTCTTGATGCTCGGGAATCGTGACTTTGTATTTGCACGAGTGCAGACATATCTTCACACGGAAGCTCGTCGGCCTCCTGTCAACGATTGTGACACTTTCTTGGCCCGAACTGCCGGCGTGGCCATGCGGAAAGTGCAAGCACAGAACAGCCAATGCTGACTTGCAAGTTGCTTACTTACCCTAGACTTACTTACCCTCTACTGAAAACCGCCTCGTCTTTGAGGCTTCCAGAAGGCAGAGGAACTTTGTGATGCCCTTCCTTTGGAAGCAACGCTCGGCAGTCGACGATCCTCAAGGCCTTAAGTGGTAGGGTCGCCTTCTTGAGTCTGTCCAGGCTGAGAGCATGCAAGAGTATGGAAGGACGGCCTTTTCTGAACTGGATCCACTGTAGGTGAATCAAAAAAGACTGGAGCATTGCCGCAATGTGCTTCACAACAGCCCATCTGCTCTCCACAAGCCCGTTTCCCGGACAGGCAGTGGATTCTGCCACCATTGGATGCTAAGGTGGACTCTGAAACTTGGTTTGAGTAGGACTCGAAGGACAATCGACCAAGTTGTGCTTAAACGTCTTTTGTTTCAGGCATTTTCCATGGCAGTCCGTAGCTGTGCTCTTCGGTGTTCAATCAGGATGTGGCCAGCGACTTCTATCCTTCTCGACGACTCAAAGGATGTAGAGGACAGGGAGAAGACTTCCGGATTCAAGAACATCTTCCGGGACTGGGTTTTGAAGTTCCATGTGGTTTGAGCTCAAGCAACAATTGAGAAGTAAAGCCGCGACACCGTAGATGGTCAAACAGTGAAACTTTGGAGGCGCATCAGAGTATCTGGCTCGGCAGCCCCTGGCCAGCAGCAGTTTGTAATTATGCCTTGGATTGGCTTTCTGGCAGACTTCTCGTACAAGCTCACTATGTTCATAGAAGCTACACTTCAGAAGATGTTGTGCTGAGGTCTTCACGACGAAATGCGACTGAAGTGTATGAGCTGAACTTCGTCAAGGACCGCAGGCTTTGAGCACGTCTCCCCTCCGCTCCGCGCTCTCTGCGAGGAAGCCTTTCTCCGGTTCCGGTCGGACAGCGCGGAGCTGAATGTCAGCGACCTCCGACTCTCGGCAAGACTTGGCACATAATCTCTCCGCCTGCAGATGGCCGAGGTATGCTTGAATCGCACATGCAAAGTGACATCCAGTTGCCTTCGCTTATCTTCGCTTCTAGCATGCTGCAGCATTGTAACGAGTCAAAACTTGCCGCAATGAGACGAAGCCAAGTGGAGGAGATGTCTTAGACCACCTGGGCTACCTCGGGATCACAGACGAAGCGGCTACTTCTCTGGCCAAGGAGGTCTCGCGCTTCTCAACCCTGGACTTCCAGGATCTTCAGTGTTTTTGCTTCCACCAAAAAGCGGTAGCTTCGCGGTAGCTTCGGTTAGCCACGTCAGGAGATGCAGAGGGTGATCGAGTGTGCCGGGAACTTCGAATACCAGCAGATCGAGCAGGCGTTTCAGAGACAGGCAGGGTCATGAGTGCAAGGGCACGTCATCTGAACATATACAGCCAGCTCAGTCTGAAGCACTTCGAGCCTTTCTCAAACTTCAGCATCGAACCCTGGGCTCCTTCAACGTTTGCGACGAAGTTGTCTTTTGCGAACTATCAAAAGCTCTCCTCACCGCCGTAGTGCCAGGCGGTTGCGCAGCAAGATGGCGCCCACGTGCACGTGAACAGACTCTCGTCCAGATGATAATTGATCACTTTCCGGCCCCTTCGCCAATCACTCCACTCCAAGGACTGCAATTCATCCTCCATGAACTTGGTGCTACCTCTGACGCCCAAGCGGTGCGCGAAAGCCTTGCAGCATGGGCCACAGTCCTCCGAGAAGAGGTTCTGTTATGTTGCTGCCTGTTGTTATCGTGCCAGAGTCTGACAAAGGGCTACCACTTCCAGGCCGCTTCATAAGCCCACCCAATCTTGCCCCACTCGCCTGAAGAGCCATGCAAGCCAATTTAGGCCACGACACACGGGCACCTTTGCTAATCATTGCCAACCTTCAGGCCTCAAACCTGCCGGAGCCTTCTGCG